ATATATTAAAATGTTTCATGCTTGTTTTCTTTTGAAACCGAAATTCTGAATGTTAGACGTCGATAAATTTCTTTCAACTACTTTCAGGAGTTACGCCTTCTAAAAGCAACGATTTTCTAATGTCAGAGGTTTCGAAAGTTACGACTTTCTAATGTGATGCCTTCCTTAAGTTACGCCTTCCCAACATTACGATTTCGATTCAAACGTTACAACTTTCTCGCGTTGAAGATTTCTCACGAAACAGATTACAAGTTTTACGGCTTCTCAATGCAAGATACAACGCTCTAACGTTACAACTTTGTACGTAATATCACGGCTTCCTAATCTTACAGATTCGTTATGTTACTGCTTTCTGACATCAATGCTCAAACTTATAACAAAGTCTTAAGTTTAAGTGGTGAAATTTCACAATGCATGCACACGTGACGCATAGGTTTGAAGAAAACTTTTCCCTTATGACACACACAGATGTTGCTAGAGTCACAACAATTTACAAAACAGAGTCTCGTTTTAAATAAACAATATAATGGCTAAATGCTTCCCTTGCTCAGACCCTCAGCTTCTCAAGCTCAGTCCCCCTTCAGCAAAGTAACAAGGTTTCTTTTATGAAAAATTGGTTGTTTCCAACCAAGCATAAATCATACCATGCAAACTGCATGTTCATCAAATGGATTCCAGGGGACATGATCAGGATAATGAGCTAATGTCTTTGCCCGATAAGACCTTTCAAGGGGTGGAACGTGATGTGAATCACCTACAAAGAAACCAAAGAAATACTTGAATTTATGAAATGCAAGGATATAAACACTCTTGACATTTTGCAATATTGCAACATGAAGAAACACAAAATGGAAAATCTTTTAGCTGTTTGAGCAAAATTGTTGACACTGCATATGGCTTGCTCAGTTGAGTTGCCCTTTACTTCAAATAAAATTGTTAAGTTATTGCTTTCTAGTACTATTAAAAAACATAAAACATCAGTCAAAAATAATTGGGAAGAAAAAGTTCACTCTTCGGGCCCAACAGGTCATATTTTTCCCATTTCTAGCTATGAAAGCAACCAATGTTAATGTCATTGTTTGACTTGCAGGAGAATGTTGAGGAAAGAAGGAAAGTTCATTTAGCATAAAATGATTTAACAAATAAATAATTGTTTTTAGATGTAATAATAATATGTACTTTACATTAAATTATGTGTGTTAAGTCGGAGTCGGCAAAGGTTATGTTGAACTGTGCAAGACAATCAGGAAGAAAACAAGACAAAATCTGAGAGAAGCAAACACCAAGAGAATCAGAGAAGCAGTTGAAAGTGGCAAAGGGTTGAAAAGAGCACAACAGGAGATGGAAAGAAGGCTCTGATTCAAGCACTGAAGGAGAAGGATGGAAAGGTAATAACAGACAGAAAAAGAATCCTCGAGAGATGTGCAGAATTCTATCAGGCACTGTACGAAGATCACTCCCAAAACATTCAGTTGAGACCAGCAGAAGAGACTCCAGTAATCATGAAATGTGAAGTGGAGAAGGCAATCCATCAGATGAAAACGGAAAATCACCCGGTGAAGATCTTGTGGTGATAGAGATGATAAAGGCCGGAGGTGACATCCTAATGGAAAAACTTCAGCATCTTTACAACAAAGCCATTGAGACGGAAAAAGTGCCAAAAGAGTGGAAGAACGCCATCATTATTCTACTCTTCAAGAAGGGAGACAAGAAAGATCTTGCAAACTACCGCCCCATCAGTTTGCTATCCCACATCTACAAGTTGTTCATGAAAATCATCAAGAACAGAATCAGTGGCACTCTGGATGAACATCAACCCCCAGAGCAAGCAGCATACAGGAAAGGATTCTCCACTGCAGACCACCTGCATGCTACAGGACAAATACTCGAGAAAACCAACGAGTACCAACAACCACTGTTCATGGCATTTGTACATTACGAAAAGGCATTCGATTCCATCAAGCATGCCCCAGTATTCCAATCACTTGCGAAACACGGAGTACCAGGAAAGATCATAAACAGCATAAAGGAAACATACAGAAGGCACAGCACAAATAAGAACAGAAAAGCTGAGCGAAAAGATCAAGATAAAGAAAGGTGTCCGCCAAGGAGATACACTGTCACCTATCATGTTCACTGCTGCCATTGAAGAGATCTTCAAAAGAATACCATTGGAAAAGAGTAATGAACAACTTAAGATTCGCAGATGACATCATCTTGTTTGCAAACAAAGAGGAAGATCTCAAGAACTTTGACGAAACTGAATGAAGAAGGAAAGAAAGATGGTATGAAAATGAATAAGAAAAACCAAGATCATGTGCAATGACATCGCAAGGAGGAAGCAAAGAAGAGGGATCACAGTTGACGGAGAGAAGTTGGAGGAGGTGGAGTACAAATACCTTGGAAAATGTTAACACCAAGAAATGAAATCAGTGTTGAGGTCAATCAAAGAATCAATGTCGGATGGAGAAGATTCGGCAATACAGTCACTTTCTAAAGGAGAAGAACATCCCAAACAGTTTGAAGAGGAAAATAATGGACACTGTCATTTTACCATCTATGACATACGGAGCAGAAACATGGGCGCTTAAACACCAATCAAGGAAGCTGGCAGTCACACAAAGGAGCATGGAGAGGAGCATACTAAATATCAGGCTAAAAGACAAGATCAGGAATGAAGTAATCAGAGAGAGAACCAGGGTGAAAGATGTCATCCAAACAGCAAAAGAAATGAAAGGCAGATGGGCAGGCCATGTGGCAAGAATGGAAAACAACAGATGGGCCAAATTGACAACAGAATGGTACAAGAAACTGCACCAGAGGAAGAGGAAAGCCAAAGAGAAGATGGAGAGACGAGATCGAAGAGGAAACTGGAAAGACCTGGATGAGGAGAGCTAAAGACCGAATCGAGTGGAAGAAGTTGTGGAGGCCATCTGCCAGCAGTGGCGTGAACGGCTGATGATGATGATGATGAAGGTAATTGAATTAAATTATGTAGGCAAAACTTGTATCATCAAATAAATGAATAAGAGTCCCAACAGTCAGAATATTTTAACAGTCAATTTCCAATGAGAATACTTAATGCATCCAATTGTCAAAACAAAAAATCTCAAATAACCACACCTGTCAACACAAAAAATTGGCAAAAATCATATATGCTTTAAACAAAGCAACTACATCAAGTATGAAGGAGAAATTAAATGTTATAATATTTTACATATAAGATGTAAAAAAAAATGAGTACAACAACTTCAATGACTACAATAACTTCAACAGCTTGGATCTCAAAACAGCCACTGTAATAACCTGAAAGTAGTCAATTACTGTATTCAACTGTATTCAATAACTTGGTCCAAACAACTCAGCCCCTATTCAACCCCTAATTTAATTGTAAGCCTAACTTTGACCATAGCTCCCAACCCTAACCTTAGCCTTTACCTAAACCATTATATGGAACATCGTGCTGTCAAACTGTGAAGAGTGCTTGGCAACCAATGCATCTTGAAATTGAATTGGCTGTTGTCGAACACAATCTGATATAAATAGCTTGCACATAATAATCTTGGAATACATAAAATGTAAACTTAACATCTTCAACCTTCACATATTACAAATGGTAATAATGAAACAACAGTAATATGAGATCGACACAACATGCAAAAAATCACCATCAAATTTCACAATCCATGCAACCAACAACAAACACCATTTGTTAATTAACAACCCTTCGTAAACAAAAATTGTATAAAAGACTTTCATTCGCGCATTTGTGAATGTCAGCACGAAGTCGCAGCGAGCAAACGTCGCATCAAAGAGCGCGATCTTTATCATGAATTCATAATCTTAGCCTAAGCAAGTAAAAGATACGATAAACATCGCGTGTCAAAACGCAATAAATTGTTGCTTTGAAGGGGTAAGTTTAAATTGAAATAAAAACCTCTCGAATGATTAGTCAGTCATTAAACAAAACTGTAATGAACTTTGATTACAAGAATTTGTATACGGAAATACGTAAACTCGTCAATCTATGTGCACAGCTGTTCAAGTCGCACATTTCAACATGTTGACAATTTTTGGTCGGCAGCGATACGTTTTCTATACAATAACTACAAAGTAGCATTCTCATTTCAAATGTTAAATAAGATTATCACACACACACACGTGTTAAAATGACTCTAACTTCGACCGTTTTAGAGAAAAACCGTCGTAAAGTATCATACCTAATAGCTGGTCGGGTTCCAAGCCGGACACATTGTCAAGTCCGCAAACAACGAAATAGTCAATGAGCCGTTCTCCTGCAGACGTTGGAGCGGTCATGGCGCTCTTCTTTATGTAAACCTTACTTTAAATAGAGAATACGCCATTTTTTAAGCTACATATCACTGTATGCAAAGTCTCGCATGCATCAAACATGCAAAGAAAAAATCGTTCTCGTTCAAATGTCATGAAGTCATAGACATGGTTTGATTGATCTCTTGCCACTCCAGCTTCGCGGAGGAAGGACTGTACACTGACCGACCATTGAACTGGACTATTATTTCACCGCTGGCGTTGTTAGATCATGTCAAACCAAACCCATTGAGTTCTAGAAGACCTGGAGGGGAAACGTACGGTGGCCCATAAGGGCCATCACTTAAAAAAAGTCACAACACAAGTAAATGTAATCACAACACAAATAAAATAATCACAACGCAAGTAAATAAAGTCACAACGCAAGTAAATAAAATCACAACACAAGTAAAATAATCACAACGCAAGTAAATAAAGTCACAACACAATTAAATATAGTCACAACACAAGTAAATATAATCACAACGCAAGTAAAATAATCACAACGCAAGTAAATATAGTCACAACACAAGTAAATATAATCACAACGCAAGTAAAATATGAAATACTGGAAATTCTTTTTGTGAACAGGGCTCAGTCACTCAGTACTATGCTTAGTACTTTTTTAAATATCTATCGGAGAAGTCTGGCTGGGAGAATGGTACTTAGACTAATTCTAGGATAACTTTGTCAATCCAAGAACACGTGCAGTACTGGTTTTTATAAATCGGGGTATTATTTTTTGGGTACACTTGCAAAATGTATCAATTCAGGAAGAAATTCAGACGCTCAAATGACTTCTTTTACAATAACGTGGAGAGGAAAGGAAACACACAAAAAGATGATGCGGTAGGAATTTTTAAAGTGTTCTTTTTATTGTTTCTGGTTGCACAATTTCATATTAATTTATATTTATTACCACAGTTATATTAACAAAAGTATGTGTACAAATTTATTTATGCCCACAATGTTGGGTAAGGAAAACAATTATTCTGAGCACATTTTCCAATTTCAAGTCTAGATTCTCTACATCCTTTAATCACAATGTCATATATGTCATATATGTTAATAGAATAGCAGTGTGTCATATGAATCTCAATTTTTTGAACAAGTAAATGAATTTGGGGATTTGGTAAGTTTACATATATTGTAAAACTATGTAGATATAAAAATACGCTATGTTTATGGTTTTTTTTTCATTTATATGTAGAATGAACAAAGTGAAGATATTGCTGAAAATTATGACAAGCACCAAGAGTTAACCACCAAAACACAGGTTTTTAATGTACATATTGATATTGTTTCTCATGAAAAGTCATTGGAAATGGTTATATGTAGGACTGCTTTCACTAGAAAAACTAAAAATTTTGAAGTAATTTAAAGAAGGCATGCATTATTTCAACACTTATTAAAAGTCTGTACACATTTTAAATTAAATAATGGTCTTTATTTGTAGGATTCTGAAGATATTTTTACCAAGCAATCTATCTCTATTATTACAGAGGAATCTAAACAACCATGTCAACATAGTCAAGTAGTTCTCACTTATACAGTTATACTTTATACTGTTTACCACTAGTCATGTTTTTAATGTGTTATAAATTGACAATATGCTTGTTGATTGCTTATGCATGAGACACTGTGTAGCAAAACTTTATTAACATCTCGTAGAAATGTGCTCAACAAACATAAAAATATATTACAATAGATATTTTTGAAACAGTGAACATTAATAATTACTGTGTACTTGCTCTTTTAGAGTCATTTGTCACCCACTGGCCACTATACTGGGCTATTGTTACAGTTTGACTTTGCATCAAATGTATCACGTCAGCAATCCTTTGTTGTTCATGATTATAATGCAAACAAAAGAACAATTATGGTGATGTCAAATTTTATTTCCATAATTTCAATGTTGGGTATATACCCAACTAAATGATATTACTCAATACTCTTTTTGGTGCTATAATCTGCATGTATTTTTCTTCAGCATAATTCATTTGTATTTGTTCATCGATATCCCCACCTATTGCTTGATGGCTACGGTTGGATATTGTGCTGCTCATGTGATGCAAATAGAAAGCAATTTGTTGAAGCCCTACCTAATAATATACAATTAGATCCTCAAAAGGTATGTAAAATAGATGTTACTGAAATGAAATTATTAAAACAGGCCAAACAACATTTTGTACTTGTCAGATATACCATATCCCAGTTGCATACACATATTAGCAATGGAAAAATATCTGGTAGTGTATGATAGAAAGTTTGGTATTGAAGCCAAAGATTTTATTGAAAAAAGTTAGTGTTGTGTGTTACTCTTTCAGGATATAAGGTGTCTGAACAGCTTCACCAAATTTTGACTTACACTTACATACTATTTGTTTCAAGACCCTTGTCAAAGATGTGAGAACTTGTTACATATTAATCTGACATTGCATGAAGTGAATGTCTCAAATTTGTATTTGGCTTCTTTTTTCAATGTAAAGTTCTTCATGTAGTATGGGAGGAAATGTCTTCATCCTTAAATATCAGTTTATTGTACATTTCAAACACTTGTGAAGTCATCCTTCTGTGTTTTTACAAGACCCTTGTTCAACATTGTTCTTATTACATGTGGACGTTAACCAGCACAGCTTTACAAGCAAAAATATTGTTAAAACTTGTGAATGATTATTTACACAACATATTTATCTCATCCAATTTCTTTTATGAATGCAGAATCCACATCCATGATGCAGTCTGTTTTCAGTGATCATTCCTACCATGAGATGCAACCTGAAGAAGTATATTTTTGTTATGTGAAAATAACTTTTTTGTACACAAACACCGTATAGTTTCTCAACCTTCTAATACCCCACAATTTGTTACACCATACATCCTGTGCCTAAGTTCAGGAGCTTCTATAAAGCTATTGAGGTGATAACCAACAGGGCAAAATTGAATTTATTTATGACTATTGAGAGTTTACATTCATACTCAAATACATACATTAATACATACCTACAGTACATACATTAAGTGATATAAACTAAATGTATGATACAAATAAAAGTCATATTCACCATTTGCTTCGTTACCTGATATATATATTATGCACTTTCTAAGGATTTTGTGAAGTCATAATTAATCATAATTATTAAATACGCCCCAGCCCGAGCTAAAATGTTGCAGCTGTTCCTCATATCATTGCATTCATGTGACAACCCTTGCAAAAGCCATGCAAATCGTTGAAGAGGATGAAATGGATTCTCCATTGGCACTTTTTAACTTTTCCTTTGGAATTACACCAGAGATGCGAGACTATTTTGAATTGGCTACACTTAGCAAAGAAAAGGTTTCTTTATTTGAAACAGGTATGCAAGATAATCTGCAATGGTGAACATCCTTTTAGCTTTACATATACTATTTCCTTTATCGGTATGGTATTTAGCACTTTCTAGCATTTTGTAAATATTACAATTTAATTATTTTAGGGAATGAGAATGATGCAAGCGATTTTACTGATCTTCCTGAAAAAAATGGTCATAAAATTTTGGCTCCATCTGAAAGTGGTATTTGTTCTTGTGGTGCAGAGTGGGATAAATGTTCTATTCAAGATGAATGGTTGTACGTAGACTTGTGTTCAGTTGCGTACTTTTATTCAATCCATGATGTGAAGGGTAAGTTCTGATTTGTTATAGGTTACGCTTTGCTTCATAATTATATGACTTAAATAAATTATTTAGTGTATTGTAGACCTTGCTCCTCTTGTGCTACGAAAAAGCATTATGATGGCATTGAAAACAGGATTGTATGGTTTGGATCATATGCAATATCTCATGCTGTTCTAAAAGATTACATTCGGCTTTTCATAACGTCGAGGTACTTTTTAATGAAAATTTGCCTAAGCATCAGTAGCTACGTTTGTCCATTATTTATTTTCTCGCCCTATCTCTTTTGAATGTTTTTTCTTTTTTATTCTTGTTCAGTTTACCTATGTACAAATATTATGTTGCGTATGTACAAAGGCAAGTGTCTTCGGGTAATTTTAATTTCCCAAAGGAAATAACTTACGCCAAGTTTCGTCTCGCTATCATTGCCACGATACGGTAAGCATCATTTCATTTTCAGCTGTAAAATATGAATATTCCATTGAGATAGTGATCGCTTGTTTTATTAAGTTATTGAATTTTCTCTTATTAAGGTTGCTTGATATTGATTTTGACAATGTGTTATTTTGTGAATTATGTGGAAGAATTCCCCAAAGGTGGTGTGGATGGAACAACTCTTGGAATACAGAAAACTTTCACCAAATAATTTAAGAGAGTCTGATACTGGATTGCTAGATGGAAGATAAGTATTTTTGAAGTTTATCTGTAATATATAGTATATACAGGTCTGCTAATTAGTAAATACGAGTGTTCATCTACGTATCAGAAAGCATTTTATGCATGATGGTGACTTCTCTCACTTTGTTTTTGTATATAGCTTATAGTTATAAAAATAACAACCTGTTTTCTTTTGTCCAATACTAGGTTTGAAATGCGCAATTTCATCAACAGGAGAAATGTGCGAGCTTTATTGAAGAAGTACAGTGATTCAAAGCTAAGTTGGGACGAATTTCAAGAATTAAAATCTGAAGTAAGAAGAATTTATTACCCCACGAGTACAAAATTTTGTATGACCACTCCAGAGCTCATTTTATACTACAATTTCTCGTATTTATAGATATCTTCAAAGGGGCTTAGGACTCTACTTGAATGGTTAGAGAAACAAGGATTTATCACTAGTTGTCCAAACTCGTGCAGTAGGTTATTGGCATCATTGGCTTCTGACAAACCAGTATGCGCAATTGTGCCCCCCAAAGAAGAAGTTTTGAACCTCTTGATAAGGATGTCTGATGGAGCCAATCCAAAAGACAATCCTTCGACTGATTTAAAACTTCTTCATGAAGAAGTGCCCCTACTGTTTAACGTCATTGAGACTAGCGAAGAAATTCCTATTACTATTCAACCGCTGCTAAAGGAATTGGTACAAAAGGCGATAAGTCCGTTCGAGGTCAAGGACGGTCAGTGGCGTTTGCCACACAACTTACCTGCGGTGTCTCAAAATTCTTCCCATGGATATCTACCTTGTCTGCCAGAACTGGTTCAACGAGGGAATTATGTTCTTGACAATAGGAAGACACAGCAGGAAGATTGTGCCAAAGTCACTAGACCCAAGAAAAAGCATGGCACTTTGATCCCTGGAATATTTTGTATTCTTTGTCCCCACGGTATTTACATGATGAACGGCTCCAACGAAAATTTGTTTTACTATTGCAGTAAGTGACATTGCGCCTTCGTTTTTGTTTCCAGGTATATGTTATGGATTCGAAATAATCAGGGATCACGAATCACCAAATATCCCATTTACCATTTTACGAACACGTTTTCCTGATGGTAAGTTACGTATGTGTGTACCTTTTATGGTGCTACAAACAGAGTATTATCAGTGAATCGGACAGATTGCGTGACGGTTTAGTCGCCTGACAGAGTTTTCAGTTCAGTAACATAACCGAAATGCCTGATGATATGTATTTTTATTTCTTTAGCGCCAGAGTTGGTCATTTACGATAATGCCTGCAGATTGCAAATTGTTTGAACCGAGATCCAGCATTTTTTAAGAAAACAAAATTTGTTGTTGATAAGTTTCATTGGAAAAATCATTCAGGTAAACTGCCATACTCTTCCTATTTTACTTGAAGCGAACTTATTGATCCAAAAATGGCCGTTTTTATGTTCTCACAAAATTTGTTGATTTATAACTGTCCTTTATGTGTAGGATGCTGCGAAGGATATAACATGAAATTGTATCCCACGCTCAATATGTACAATAGTCAAGCTGCTGAACAGTGCAATTCGTGTATTAAGCCTCCATGGTTTCTTACATGGAATACGATAACTTTTTTCTTTTTACAAAACTTCATATTTGGCACAGGAATATGTTACGCATTGTTAAATACAATCCTGAGAGAGAAATAGCCTATAAACACTATTTTCTCACTCTTAGTCGCGTTATTCATTAGTAACGCGTTATAGTTTCGTTTTTCGAAAAATTTAAACTTGTTTTTATGAATAGTTTTATCTCTACAAAATATTACTTCATAGTTACCCATATAGTTTCTGCAAAAGTAACAATTACATGTAACGTCGTTACTTGTAAAAAAATTATTTACATCACTTGTTATAAATATAAGAATGTTATTCATATGCACCAGCTTTAAACTTAAATTCTGCTTCATTACAAATTGCTTCGCTAAATGGCAAAGCTTCGAATCAGTTTTTTAAGGTATGGTCTTTTACTATTTACATGGATATCGGCATGTAATCCAGGACCAACTTCTCCCTATCAAAAAGAACACTATGTTTATATGAACAGAGTAAACAAAGTGATTAAGAATCATGATATCTTTTCTCAACTTTACCCCCTCTGTTATTCTTCTCGCAAATTCTGTCACGAATATGCCACAGTCATAACCATTTGCTTGTTGTATCACCTGTCGTCAATAGTTAAGTTATCCCTTTGTGACAATTTAAGTGTGATCTGTTGCCATTGTAAATGATAAGTACTTACGTCGGCATATATAGGTTGGGAAATTGAAGCAATGTCTTCTGGCCATCTTTGCTCTTGCCTCACATGCTGAAAATATCTTTTTCAAAAGAAAAATGATTTGTGTAGACGTGCTAGAAACATTCACTTTGTCAACATGTTAGATACATGATACACTTCATTCTTCAAGTAAATTGTTATGTACGTCATATACCTTCGTATACTGGATGCAACTTCTCTTTTTTGCCACCCCATACTGCATAAAACATAGAGTTTGCCTGCTCTAACATTGTATGCAATGAGCCACCAATGCAGCCTATATTTTTTAAATGAACATGGAGTTGGCTCAGGTTGGCCTTTGCATCACGAAACAGTAAAAATTTAGTGCTTCCACCCTTACATGTCACATATTGGCACTAGCACACATTCATATTTATTCATTTCTTCAGGTGTGAACATCCCCACTCTTGAAATGAAACATCCTGATAATCTCAGCGGTCTTTCTCCTCTAAAAAGTAGGAAATACAGCGATGTTTATTTATACGATTTATGAGTAGTTTGATAATGTTGAAAGTTTTGAATATTTTACCGAAATTTGCTACTTAAAATACATACAGAGGTCCATCTATTAACAGTTTCTGTTGAAAAAAATTGCTAAATGCGAAAAATTTTGCATTTCTTTTTTCTGCTAATTTACAGTAGTACCTATAAATAAGAATGTAAATGTTTTGACACATTAGCCATGCATTTAGAGTGACTTTCGTCCTTTATTTCAGCTACGCCTAGATTTTCGAGTAGTACCTTAACAGAACGTCTACGATGGTGTCGCATACCCAACTGTTATCATTTAGTGTATTCAAATCTCTTTTGTAAATGCTTATACCATCGAAACAAGCAACTCTGGAATCAAAATGAAAACGTGTCAAGAATGAAAGGAGTCATTCTTATTTTCTTTATACGTGTCTAAAATATGTTTTAAAACAAAAAACCTCTCATTTTCTCCATTCCAAGTTCTCCTAGAGAAAAATAAAAAATACAAACATCTTAATATACGTATGGCACAAAAAGTTTAGAATCACTCAGATTTTTATTTGGTAAGAAATGTTGGGAAAAAACCTGTAATTTAAACTTTTATGCTGCGTTGGGTGTCGAGTTTGTCGTTTTCCCATTTTGGCTCCAAGAATGCAAACAGGTCCTTCTTTATTTTACAAAGAGTAAAAGCCACACTGCCTACTACTTGCATAGCTTGGCAAACACACGGTAGATATATTTGAAAACCTCGTACTTAGGACACCACACCTCCAACGATGCACTAAGTGCCCCAGCAATACACATGAAGTGTATCTTTCAAGTCAACATCTATGAAAAAGTTAATTGAGCTTTTATCAGAAAGGCATGTTGTATCAAAATTAAGCTTATGATCACTTTATTCAATTTAAAACCGTAGAATTAAATGGTGTGTACGATTAATTAGGTTATTCGATAATACCTTCTTCCAGGAAATTGTGAATTTCAGATACAATTTTCTTGCCTGCAGTTTCCGTATTCGTTTGTCTGGTGCGCTATAATAATAATCAAATCTCAGTTCATTTGAATTATTAAGGATAAATCTATATGTGAAATAATGTATTATTAGGTAAATTTTTTAGGCAGAGCAAAAGTCACCTCTAGTGCTAAATGATGTTGATGGGAAATTCCGTACAGGAAGGCATCAAGTTTCAACCTGTCAGGATCCGTACTAAGCGCCTCAAAGATATTTCCTGGCTCACTGGCATCATAGCCTTGAGGCAAACCCATCGCTTCCATCTTACTCGATCTATAAAATAAATACGTAATCACAAGTAAAATGTTTTAAAATAATTAAGTATAAACTTTAAATGTGAACCTTAATGCATGAGTTACAGGTTGATGATGACTTTCGGCGGATTGCAACAATTCCTGACAAATTTCATAATTGTAGCTCATTTTTGCCATCCTGAATCCAGAAACTATACCACATATTTCCCCTAAAAGATCCACTGTCGTATGAAAACACTTTGCAAAGTCTTCCTGAGAAGTAAATTACTATATTAATTGCGTATTGTTTATCTTGATACATATAGATCTTAACTTTCGTCATGTGAAAACTCAAATTTACCTTTTCATACATATCTTTGATATTTAAGTCTGTGCTTTCGGTCTAAACTCAGAAATTGCACATAAGATTTGATGGTGAAGAAAAAGATATCTAAATATTAATCTCATTCCTTTTCTTGCATCATGAAATGTTCCTCTGGTCCCATTTCGTCTTCTTCGTTTCCTTCTTCTTTAAGATATTTCTCTGTGTTGCTCGTAGTCCATATCTTCATCTCGAATTTCTTCTTTGTCGATATCTTCATGCTTCTTTTCTTGTTTGAACTCATCTGCTTTCTCCTCGTTTATTTCCTCTATATCAGTTTCTTTTTCCATGTCTTGGTACTCTTCTTCGATGTTTTCTTCATTAAACTGTACACATCAATTTATTAATAGGATGTGTAATAATCACATAAAGTGTGGAGAACGTATCGTAAAAATACAATTGACGTATTCTTTTTAGGACAATTTATTTTCTTTTTTTACATTTTTTACATTTGATTATTCAAAGTATTATCTTACGTCTGTAATGTAATTCCAATAGGAAAGGACGATTTCGGTTAGTTCTGCCTTGTTGAGAACTTTCCTGAAAATTTTCTTATCGTTGTTGCCATCTGGAAGAATTGCAATCAATTTTAAACATGGTCTAGAAAACATAAATAAATAGACATAAAATAAAGACATAAATAAATCATTAATTAAACCTAGTGGAATCTCTTTTCTTGCTGATGGTGAACAAAACAGTATGTGTAACGGCCAAAAAGATGGTTGTTCTGCTTTGGACCAAAAATTTTTAATTCGGGCTACAGGCCATTTGTTTCCTCCCTTAGACCCTGTAGCAGTATAGAAATATTTGTCTCTGCTTATGTTTTACAAACATGAAACTTATTTAAAAATGAAACATGTTTGTGCCTGAAAATGCTAATGAAGGAAGAACCATATTAAGCACGAGGTTTCTGAGTTCTTCACACGACCATTTTCTCTTCTTATTTCATCAAAAGCTTCAGGGTCGATTAAATCAGGTCGAACTCTTTTCGACTTCAATACGTTTTCATTGTATGCTATATAGATATTTTAAACTTCACAATTGTATATGTCAAATGATCATATATATATAACAGTGATGCTTATTTTAAATATCAGAGAATTAAAAACAGTAACAGTATTAATCAGATGACGTTCTTGAAGACCCCAAATCATTTTCAATATATTTGCATACTATATGGCTGGCAACGTCCAACACATCTTCGCGCAATCCAGGACTACAACACAGAATGGGTTTATTTTAATACAGTTAAACATATGCATGTTCAAGTAGTGAACTCAAAAATCAATAACCTGCTTGTTCCAACATTTCCGTGCCCATCCAAATATAATAAAACAAGAGGACCGATTCGATTAGTCTGGGACACTTGATCAATCTAAAATCATAAAATTACATAAAAAATATAAAATAAAAATATAAAGAAAACTTACGCGCTTTACCAGACGCTTTCTCATTTTGTATGCAATCAAACTTTCATTTTTGCTGATTAACTCTTTCCTCTAACGAATTATTATGTGACATAAACTTTATGCTATAAAGAACGAATCATTATTATTGAAATATTTATCAACATAACAGGAAAGAGATTATATTATATACCGGTCTCTGACTCTTTTTCACGTGTCTCTCCCCGCGAATTTGTCTTCATTGTATTTTTCAAAGTTATAGAAGTATTCTAATAACGCAAATTACAAAGATATTAACAATAAGCTACTCACACAGGAAAGTCAATAAATAAGTGCATAAAACAAGATTCATACATTAAATATGCTTTCCGGCATATGTCATTTCTAAACTGAACGCTTTCGCCGTTGCATATACCTGCAGGACAAACACGTGTACATTTCGTAAACACCGTGAGTTGTGCATTGTCATATTAAGCATTCTGCATTCCAACAATACTCTCAAGCTTGCACTGCTCTAAATTAAAACGTTTTTACGACCATGGTTATATATGTTTGTAAATGTAGATCGTCCAGGTTGGTATAGTCCTGAGAAGGACTGTTTATGTTGTTGTTGACTGACGTTTCGATAACCTTAGCGGTAGTCATCTTCAGAGTCAAATGAGGAGTAAACGTCAGGTTAGTTGTATTTGTTATCTGGTTCTTACGTCATTGTATTGTGTGTACAGGAAGTATTGTCTGTTATTGAATTATGTGAATTAATTAATTTTAGTGAATATGGTACAATTTACCAAAGATGTCGAAGCGATACTCTTCCTTTTTCGACTGTTTGGTAAAGACAATCAGAAACTACGAACAACAGTTTATCGCAAGCCAACACATACTGACCGACTACTAGAACAATCATCTTACAACCCTATATCACACAAAGCCACACAGTCAGAACATTAACAAGACGTGCACAAATCATATGTGATTCACCGGACGCTCTACAAAACGAAAACAACTATCTCAAACGTGTTTTGACAAAACAACTATAACTCTGACTTTATCAAACGCGACACTTACAAACCCAACGAACCCAACGAACGAACAACTCAGTGACAACAGCAACGATACCTTACATCAAGGTACGTCTGAGACTATCTCGCGTATCTTACGACCATACAACATACGTGTCGCACATAAACCAATCACAACGTTACGACAAGTACTAACGAACATAAAGGACAGAACAACCCAACGAACGACAAGGTGCAGTTTACAAAATAAATCCGACTGCCACGCCTCCTATATCGGGGAAACTGGCAGGAACTTAAACATAAGTTTACTGAGCACAAACGAGCTACTAAGAAACAAGGCAAAACTAATCACATTGCCGAACATCATCGAATCACAAAGCACAACATTGACTGGGACTCGGCAAAATGCATCACTTACAGTACTGACTATAGACAACGGCTTACATTAGAAAGTTGGTATACCAACTTGGAACAAACCCCCCTGAACAGATCACAGCAATTACCGGCACCTTACAAACGACTTATTCACAATACAAACAAACGATCAACTAAAAATATTACACTTCAAACTAATTCACAATGACAATAAACAATTGACACCCACATTACAACTAAAAACGTCACACCTAAATCACACATCACAACTAAAAATAAAATATTTCACTTCACACTAAATCCACAATGACAATACACATTTCCTGTACACACAATACAATGACGTAAGAACCAGATAACAAATACGGCTGACCTGACGTTTACTTCTCATTTGACTCTGAAGATGACTACCGCTAAGGTTGTCGAAACGTCAGTCAACAATAACAAAACAGTCCTTCTCAGGACTTTTATTAACCTGGACGATCATCATTTACAAACATATACTTTAACACTGTTAGCATTCTCATCACTCATTTAAGCTTAAACTGACAGTGTCTCTGTAATAAAATGTTTGTGTGACAATGGTGTTACATGATTATAGTAAGTACATAAAACGCCACTTTTGTCATGTGTCACCAATGCGCAATGTCTAGCTAGGAGTCTTTTCTACTTGAGTAGTCCAGTTGTCGTTAGGTCAGAGGTAGGCACGTTTTTGGTCAGCGGAGACCCTCATTTAGATGGTTGTATTTGTGGTTGTATATGCCAGAAAAATGGATGCGATACATATATCGGTTCAGAAAAATAGAAGCAATTGTATAAAGAGTTTTACATAAATATTGTACCAAATATACTTCTCACGTGCATGCAAAGAGAAAAGTTGAGTTTTAACAGAATTTGAAAGCGCGAGAAACTGATTTGAGAGGGAAATGCCGTCAATGGTGACATGTATCACATGGGTCAGCCGTGGTGTGGCCAAAACTGTGCCAGATAAGGTGATTACTTGTTCTTTTCTTTTTGAATTGTAGTTTTACTATATTCTTTACTGCAATCAATATGATTTCAGGTTGAACTGTCACAGGAAGAATTGGAGCAGCTTATTAATGAGACAAAGACAAAATAATGTATGTGGTTTATGTTTTAACTTTGTGTGAATGGGTTGCATCTGGTAGAGTAACGTTTAATGCTTGTTTATGTTGATTGACCAGGTTACTGCTATCCTGAGTACTGTTAATTTTAGTGTTCATTTTTGTCATCCTTTGCAGTCATCTTCACTCCATGAGTGTAGGAAGATCGCGGGGGCAGGTGGGGGGCTCATATTGAAAACAATGCATTTAAAAGGACCTGAATACCATGCATATATGAATGTGAGCCGTCCCCCAGTTATCAATCTTCCTACAGGGTTTAATTTAAATCTTTTTTGAGTATGTATATTGATACCAGGGTTTTAGAATTCAGTATCCCTCCCGTTAATCTAGTATCCAAAATTTGAATACATTACTAATTGGTTTACATAAGCCCTGGGTCGAAAATAACACAACACTTAGGGTAACTCTCATTTTATTATTAATGTAGCTCCTTTTAAAATACCTCAAAATTCCTTTCATTGAAATCGGAAAAGTTTTTTCAATGTGAAGACACTGTTCAGAATGTCAACTCATAAATTCATCCATTAGGAGGAACAAATTATTATTAAATAAGAATGCTATTATGCTAGACATGTGTAACTGCACTATTTTATGAAAAATTAGAGGTGATACATTTATTACTATCCCTGTTTTGTGGTATCCCATTGGGACACAAGTAAAATACGCTTTGTATCCAAAACAGAATCCCCATTACCCTGTGTATATTGGATACCGCAAATTTCATACCTTGTCTTACACCCATGCTCTTGGTCATAACTCACCCAACAGTCCTTCTCATTACTCTTCTACCTCTATGATCAGCACTCTTCTGATTTCAACCTCTGTTCTAACCTGGAAGTTCACTACTGCTCTTACCTCTACCTTTGTTTTTGTACAAACTTTGCACTGCTGGCTTGGTCTGTATAAAAACAACTTGGTCTGGTGTTTCTTGGTAAAACCTCACCCTCGGTTATTAAGATCTTATCAATTGAATTGAATTATTGCTCTTCAGATCTGGGAGGCTAAAATATTAGCAGGTAAAGGATTGTAGTTCACCTCGTAGTAATACCTAACATACCTGATTAATTTTTAATTTTAGAGCAAAAGAAGGTGATGAATACAGTGAAGGCAAGCTGAACACAGAAATATCCAACTTACAGTACGTGATCAAGAGCAGTCTGATAACTCTGACAATGACGAAAATACTATCCTTCAAGAATACAATTTGGATAATTATGATGATGAAGGAGAAGGTGGTTTCATTCAGAGTTTTGGGTTCATAATTAAATAAAAAGTTATGAATTTTTGGCATGGGATTTACTAGTGTGTTAAAACTGAAAGTTAGTCTCACACAAGTCACTTTGGCTACAGTAAAGGGTTGTTATAATTTAGCTTAAGTTTGACATAGGTTATTGACTACCACGATTCTGTACCTTATTCTTGACTCGTGAAATAATTAAGCCTAAATATTTAATTTCGTGCACAGTAAACCGGTCTGCAAGTTTGGTGCTATGTAAATATTTAGGTGTTCACTGCACAAAAGCAATGCATTTCTAAAGAAATGAACAATGAGAATGATTTGAAATTTATATAGCAAGACCAAAACTTGCAGACTAGCTATGCTATTCGCGATGCCTCACTCCTCGTCCATCATTTTACTAATCGCTATAAATTTTGGCCTCACAGATAAAAAATATGGTGGACATATACTTATGTAGTGTTGTGTTGATCTGTAGGTGTTGTCCTGACAGGTGCAGGAATGGCCGGACTGACGTACTTTCTGAATAATGACGATGATCCATACATCACTCTTAAAAACTCGGTAATTGTCAATTCAATGAGATTTTTTCACTTTCATTTACAACTATTCCTCAAGATGGGCGTCGTTTTGGTTTTTGTTCATGATAGCTCAAAGGGGGAAGGGTTAGGGAGGGTGTCAATTTACAATTTTTTCATGTAATGTCTCTCGTGGAAATTTTCCTCCGTTCTCTTTTGAGACAGTTGGAAAACAAAACTTACTATTTCCTTGAGCACACATTAAACATTTATTGGATGAGGTTGAGCATGATATCAAGAATTATTTAGTAAGTCTGAACAATTTTGATATTGTACTTTGGCCCGAATTCAATTGTTTTATTATTTACCTCGACTAACTGAAATATTATTCTCATATCAATGTAGAACATTTTTAAAATCTTTGCTAATTTGTCCTTGTCAGACGGTTTATTCAAGTTCTTCTGCTTTAAATATGTTGTAAATATTTTTAAAGCGAGCTTCGCTGCTTTTCTAGTGTTTTACGCATCCTTTTGTTTCAAAAGCTTTTGCATATCGCTTTTAAAACTGCGGCAAATCGCTTATTTGATTTCTTTTCAAAATCGTCTTTTAATGGCATCAGTAATTGTAGAAACTATTCTTTTTAAATGAACGTCATCATTACAGGTATTTGGAAATATTTGTAAATATGACGTCATCGTAGATATCGAGAATATTTTCTGGTTCGTAGTTGACGTTCTCCGATCAAAACTGACATTGCTTACATAGTGAATAATAGCTAATATTTCTTATTGATGAACAGATTCCTGTATTTGCGCCATCATTACTTTGATGTACACATGCACTCTTTAGCAAGTTGATCATGTACAGTGAACGCAAGTTGAATGCTTTTCTTAAACGTGTGGTCACGATTTATTTGGGACGATGAAGAGAAAGAAGATTTAAACATTAAGCCAACGGATAATTTGATCATTATCGGAAAGGTTGAGGACGAATTTAGCAACCTAGAAATACATGGTACGTTTTGAAAACATTCTTGAAAGCGAAACTGTCCAAATTTCAATAATAGACGATAATATTAATAAAAGCGACTTCGATATTGCTCTGAACGGCGTGTTTGTCGTGGCGAATGATAATTACGTCATTCTTAAAGTGCCTATATCACCTATCAGATTTTATTGTTTTGAATAGAGCATGAAAAGGTTGTAAATAAGTTTCAAAACATTTTTTATTTAAATGAATAGTTTTTGAAAAATTACCTGTAAGCTAAATTAAAGATTGCAATTTCGGCTCGTTTCAATTTTCGTCGTCTTTGGGGACTGGGACTCAGGAACGCGTCCTTTGTCATTTACATAAAACAAAAGAAACAGATTCCGAAAACAGACATCTCGTTTTCTTGATATTCAAGATGATACAAGAGTTTTGGACAACAGATTGTGTATATCTTGTAAAACATCTTCAGACTAATCATTGTTTTATTTAAAATTGTCTGCTTGTTCTGATTACTTGTCATTTACTATAAAATGAATTACAATTTCTGTAACTAGTTGGGAAAATTGTATTTTTTTTTACGTAACCGTCGCTATGTCGTGTTCAGAATCGGTTTCTAGCTTTAACGAGGGTCGTACAGTTGTCCTCATTATGAAATGAAAGATGAAACATTTGAAACGACATCAAATTTGTGGGTGAAGCTGGCAGCATCTTATTCTTGAAGATTGAAATTATCCCATACGCAGACGAACCTCTAGCCATATGCCTTTAGCTGACGAATTGTAGATTGAAGATTATGAAAGACGAAGAGAAAAGAAGAATTAAGCCATCGTTTAAATGGGCAAAACACTATATATACTTTGTTCGATCTAATATTCCCGTTATATCGTATCGATGAAAGTTGTTTACATCACAATATAAACGATAACTAAACATCAAGATTATTGGTTTTTAGTGCACATGTTTGAATTGCAATAACAAATTCTTGGTTGATGCAAGAGAATGACGCTGCTGTAATGGGTAGTGCATTCAACCAGTCCTGAATTTACAACTTGAGTGCGTGACATACGAGCATCTGCAGACAATAGCGTAATTTTTCTGGCACATTTGATGTCATTTCAAATGTTTTATTTTTATTTCACATTCAGGACAAACGTGCGAGCCTTGTTAAAGCTAGAAAGAGCTCTAAATAGCGACCATTTTGTAAGAAGATGTAGTTTTCCCAATTAATTACCGGAATTGTAACTCATTTTATAGTAAGTGACAAAGGACGCGTTCCTGAGTCCCAGTCCCTAGCACGACGGATTTTTACTATTTTCCATCTTTAAAGCTTTATTATAAAAACTATTCAAGTAAATCAAAATATGTTTTGGAAACTTTAGTAACTTTATGCTCTATTCAAAACCATAAAAATCTGTAGGTGATATAGGCACTTTAAATGAACTGTTGAAAACTAAAAACAAAGATATAGCAATAAACTAAATGACGCGATGCATTTCGGCAGACTTTTCATCGGGTGTCGCGTCTGCTTTAATGAAAACGAAAATATTACTTATGATGAAAAAGCATAAATAATTAGGTAAACACATAAACCATCCATATTTATACAATCTGATTTCCTCTGCTTAGTTTACAATGAAGACGATAATGATCTTTATGTTCATCATGACATTATGTTGGACTCATTTCCTTGCCTTGGAATGGCTTGGCTTTGATGCAAAATGACCATAAACAAGGTTTGATTAAGTGTTTATCCTATTTGCTCAAATGAGTTTGAAGTGGAATTTAAGTCTGTAAACTTCGTTTTTCAATAACCCGAAGGCGTGTAATACGTATATATTTTATGTGTAAGTACAAAATAATGTTATTTCATGTAGTAGATTTACAAAATAGTGTTATTTTATGCAGCGGAATTACAGAATAGTGTTATTTCATGCAGTGGAATTACAAAATAGTGTTATTTCATGCAGTGGAATTACAAAATAGTGTTATTTCATGCAGTGGAATTACAAATTAGTGTTATTTCAGTCGACAGATGCATGAATTTGTGTTAGAGCAATTGTGTTAAAGAATATGTGTCAACCAAGATGCATTGCGCGTTAATCACAGCGTCACGGCCATTTTGTGGGTCGAGAAAATGGTGGATTTTGTTTTTGTAGTCCATGCAACTTAGATTAACGATAATGATTAATGTAAAATAGGATTTTGAGTAATTTCGAAAACTTGTGATTTGAATTGGCGTCTTTGCTTAAGCGTGGACGGCAAGAACTTGATTTCAACTACACCTGATTCGTTTTCGGATGGACTTATACAACGAGAGTTTAAGACAAAGAGACTCTGCTGCAATCGCAGAACAGACGCGCAGTGAATTTGCTTCATATGCACTTCAAATTTTTATGTGAAAAGACGTGTAGTTAGTCTACATGTATAATATCTCAATCAAAACCAAAAGGTAACGATGCAAACATAAAGAAAAATGCGCAATGCATCTTGGTTGACGTACATATTCTTTAAGAGTTGTTATATGGAAAGTTGTTCTGTATAAATAGGTTTAGATTAACAATTAGATTACGAGCTCGAGATTATATTTGATAGGGCGAATGTTTTAGTAGAATCATAATAGCATTTGTATAGAAAAGGATTGCTATAGTTTTCCTTAATTTTTTGCTTTATTCATTAGTTGTTTTTTACATTGTTTGTATTAAAAAGCAGGAGACTCAATGCATGTTTAGTTATTATTTCATCGAATTTTTGTTTGTTTTCTTCCTTTTATTTCTCAACGTTGTTTTAGTGGCAACAGTTGTAAACAGACAAGTTCATAGTCAGAAACCTGAGTAAAACAAAACAGCAGGGTTAAAGCCATATTTTTCAGGAGTAGAGTTACCAATGAGTAAAGTTGCCATGAGTAGAGTAGCCAATGAAGTTAAAGCATTTGCAAAAGAATACTAGTATGATTCTACTCAATATAAAGAGTGTTCGATCGATAGTATATACGTAGCTGTGTCAATACGGTTAATTTATGACAGTCTCGGGTTTGTATCGATTCTGATTGTTCTCATAAAGTTAGTTAACAATTTCTATAGTAGTTATTACATGCAGAAAATATTTGCAGAAATAATATAGCTCGCTTAAAATTGAAAATAACTTTTGATGTCTGTCAGTATCAATAAAAAGCCGAAATGAGGTCATGTGCCCAGTCGTTGTCAGTGACGGATTACTAATTACGGGCCTGTACGTTAAGACAAAGTTGTTGGGCTTTAAGTCTTATATCTTCCCTAAGTTCAGTCTCTTGATGATATTTGCGTTTCTTACGCTCCTTTGCCTTTACATTTCCCAGCTTGTTTTTGTATCTCATCGTATCAACAATAAGGAATAAATTTAAAATTCAAACTGGGAAAACCCACTACTTCACGAGTTTTGAGCATCGTGCATTTGAACAGTAGATCGCACGGTATTTAGTAGCATAAATGGTCTAAATTAAGAACATTTAACTAGTCCGGAATGGCAAAAACGAAAAACTAATTATGTCTAGATACAATGCGCCTCCAAAACTACCGTAGGCTTCAGCCTGTAACTTACTGAGTAACTCGCCACTGGTCGTTGTTTGATATTATTGATATTATACGCTCCAAATCTTTCTATTTCAGGTAATATGGTTGCTGTAGGAACAATGGAACCATATATCAATATTTGGGATCTTGACGTGATTGACCATTGACCAGTTTAAGACGAAAGAAGAAAAGCAAGAAGGTATTATTGTACTCGAATTAGGTATTCGTCTCTTTCTGTTCGGCTTGTCGCAACAGCAAATCCTTTTCCTCCATCGTTTCTGCTGTATCTTCTTATTTTAAACGATGCATGTTCTCTGCGTGCATTCATTTATCTCTCTGGTCTCTTATCTGACAGCTCTAAATCCTGTTTTACTTTATCGCAGCATCGTCATCTTCATCTCAGCAACATTTAATCCACATGATAGTTTTCTGGGAAACATCGGAATCTCGGAAAATAAACTCACTATTTCTCTGGAGGCATTAAGCGTAAGCTATTGTTATATTTTACTACTTACTTTCCATATCTTGTATTTAGACGATATCTTCCACCATTCGCTTAAGTAGACTTCATTATGAAATACACATGTTCTCTAAACAGTGAGCTGTGTCTCATTTTAGATTAAAGGTCTCATTAAACCTGTAAATTCAATCATTTTTGTAGAAATCACCAGAAACCGGGCACGTCGATGCAGTTCTCGATCTTCCTGGAACAAAAATACCAGGTATTCTGTCCATGAATGGTTTTGTTTGGCTGTTATGCATTTAAATGCTTGGCATGGCTTGTCTTCTGCGTGTTGCCTTATAGTAAACTCTTGCATTAGTATGCTAAAAACTCTAGACGGATTAACATCGTACAAAATAAATTCCATTAAATTGATCGAACATTAAAGTGCCTACGTATGTCAGGGGAAAGAATTCTATAGATAGTTGAATCAATTTAAGAACATTTGATTGGATGAAAATATCTCTTGTACTTTTGGTCTAGAAGTTGGTAGCTTCGTGCCGGCTCGACGTAAACACTTGCACTAAGATATATAGCTTTTATTATGCAGGTTTTATTGTAAACAATAAAGCTGTTAGAGCAAAACCAGAAAAAAGTGCATTACATATTTGAGTTGCCGCATACGTGTGTAAACGTTGTGTAGATGGCGAGCAATCTTTTAGAATTGAAACCGTTCGGGCGCCATTTCCTAGAATTTCTAGTTTATTTTACGTGTATCTTTACGAACAAGCGTTTTCTCCTTACGTCATTTCCTGGCGCGGTGCCTTCTTCTAGACTCAAAAGTGTATGAAGAAAAATTTTCAATCGATGTGACTTATTGCAAATGAGCGTAAAATCGATTTAACTATCTAAAAAGTTATTTCCTTGAAACTTTTGTTGATAACAAAATACCGGAGGACGTAGCCTGTTTGTATGTTTGCAGGGTTTATGCCGGTTCGGCCTTCGTTGTTCTTTGGGATCTAGCCGAATCAAAGTGTGTAAATGTCCTTACATCATAGTAATAAGGTAATTATGTTATTGTAAAGGTCACTCTTTCTTTTTTTATGATATTTTGTGCACCGTAGCCTTGAGCTTTTAACTCATTGCAATATTAAATGCAACAATGATAAATTTTACAAAGATTGAACGTTATAATCATAATTAAAGTATATCAATTATAGTGGTATGTTTTATTGTTCAACGCTTTGCAATTTGTATGTAAATGTGACTCTTATACTGCAGTGTGTAACAATATTCGAACGCAGATCACGAAATCTGGGATATTTTCATGCTCTACAGTTCTTCCGGAGAAGATTGAGTTGTTTTTTTCTGGTGGTAGCTTTAAAATATTTTGTCATGCACGTTCCTTTATGCTAGCATATTTTGTATTTCCAAAGACACGAGTATCTCTACTAAATTCTTTGACTTTGACTGAAGTGAAACGCTTTCTGAACAAAAATAGTATAAAGGTTTTGAGACAGGTTTTGAATTTTACATTATTTACATTTATTATAAATTAAAGTACATAGTAATACTTGTGTGATATTACGTTATTATCATACTTGTCATCCCATGAAATAGGGCGGTAACCGCTGACCACGTCGTGTAAACCTCAGCATGTTGGAGCATGGTCGGTGTGAACTATTTAACAAATAGATTAAACTTAACTGTTGTCTATACAGGATAAACGGGTATGACGACATTTGTGATATAAGAACTGATGAGTGGCCACGAGCTACCAAGGTGATTGATTATAATTATCACAAATTACGTCTTACCTGTGTATCTTTAACTGTTTAGACAACGGTTGATTGTAATCTATTTGTTTTATATAATAAAGTAAAATAATTCCCCTTTTTAACCGGCAAACAAGTTGTTTTTGTTTTCCCCAAGACTTGAAAATTTAAAAAAGTCAAGATTTTGCAAGTATTACGCGTTCATGATCTGTAGGATTAAAGAAATGCTATTGGCTAGCTTAAGTCTTGTGCTAGAATGAGATTGCCTAGCACAATGAACAAGCAATGGCTGATCAATTTTTTTGAAATTGTGTCATCGAAGACGAAGTGTAAATCAACGTTTGGGTTTGAAAACCGGGTTTTTCTTTTCTCTTGGCTCAAATACGTCAACAGCTTCAAGTACATCTTAATATCTTTATTTGCCCATTCAGGGATAAATTCAAGTTATCAAATAATTTCGCTGTTCGTTTGTAATTTAAACATAAGAAATTTTGTGACGGTAATAGAAAAATGCTTGAAAATATCTCCGAAATTATGTTGAAAACGCAGACATTGTAATCAATTATGTTTGAAACAATCCTATCATATTATTGTGAATCTTCCAAGACCAGATGACTGCACAAGACATGTATAAAAAAATTGAACAGTTAGGAAAACGTTGCTAAAGACGGCCGCAAGCAACAGAGCGGCTGGAGATCGGCCATCAAAAGCAAACCAAACCATAAACAGTCCTAGTGGTACCGACTGACTGCCCGAGAGAGACTTTTCTGAAGTAAACTCTAAGAAGACACAAATTCTAGATTGCAATAGAAAATATAGATGTTTTACAAATATATCGTTTTGCACTACAAATGCGAACCTTATCTTCTTGGCAAGATGATAACATTTTGTAAAAATTTCGGCAAACGTTTGCTTTAAACGGGAATTATTAGTAAAATAGCATTCTCGTGCAATACTATTCCATATTGATGTTGTGAATGTACTTGCTGGAAAGTCACGCATGCGTAGTGAAAAAATACGCCACGATTTTAGCCGAGTGGGCCTTCTGTTAGATGTCTATTCTGTGACGTAACCAACAAAATATCCCATTTACACAAGTAAATAATCTTTCACAAAGAGAATTTTGGCAAATAAACATTTTACTCATTCACACGGATATAGCTCTGTATAACTTTATAACTTTAATAACTTTACCCCAGAAACTTTGCTCAAGTAAATGTGATCACTTTGAATTTCTATGACTAAGATGTTTGCTAAAAAACTGGATGCCAGTTTTTGAACAAATGACTTTGTCGAAGAAATAGTTGTCAAATTTCTTAATTTACACGAGCAAATAAATTTTGCCAAAGACAATTTTGCCACAGAAACTTTGCTGTAAATTACACTTAATCAGCCAATTTTTAAAACTTTGTCAGATTTAACAACTTGTGACATAATTTAACTCTATGTATTTCAATTGTTTTCTACATTTTTCGTGCGCAAGCTTTTTCTAAAGTGCTTTCTCGGTAACAAAAGTTTTACGTTAAAAATTTTATCATTTGCGTGAATTTTACTGTCAGATGAACGATTGGAAGTCCAACTAATTGTTTCCACCAAAGTTTTTTGCAAATTGTGTTCGTTTTGCAAACTGTTCATTTTTCGATAGCTACATCCAGTATAATAAAAGTATAGAATAAAATTATGAGTAACCATTTTTACTATCAAATACTACAGTAAAGTAAATGGTTTGAACCCAGGAGTATCGTTACATGTTTGTAGATGTGGATCGTCCAGGTTAGTTGAGTCCTGAGAAGGACTGTTGTTTATTGATGTTGACTGATGTTTCGACAACTTTAGCGGTAGTCTACTTCAGAGTCTAAAAGTGAAGATGGCTACCGTTGAGGTTGTCGAAACGTCAGTCAACACCAACAGTCCTTCTCAGGACTCTAATAACCTGGACGATCTACATAAACAAACATGTATACAACAGTATTAGGGAGCTTTAGCAAAGACTACGAGTACGACTACGAGTACGATTTACGTCATTTTGGCGCGAAAACATTGTTGCGACAACAAAACACGTAGCCGTCATCAATCTGAGTACGATGTTTTGTAAAAATTCGTAGTCGCGACTACGATGTCTTTTAAGCAAAGAAAGTAGGTATATTTCTTCACTCTGTAAAAATTAGTTCACAGTACTATTTTCGAGCATCCAGGCTTTAATTTAGAACCCTGTTTGAGCGCAGATGTACATTAAAGGAAAATATGACCTGCAAAACTTTCATGTATTTCGTACGCAAAGTGAAAGGTAAACAAACAATAAAATAGTACAAATATATCGTACATAAAACTTAAAATAGTGAAGATTTTTCAGCCTAAAGAGTCCTATATTCTCGCAAAACCAGTATTACCGATAATATCATTATTGATATACGATCAATTCTAAATCAGTCAACAAAATAATCGCTCCTCAATCAGCTGTTGTGCATTACCAATCAGCGAATTACGTGTTTAACATATTACTTAACAATGACTACTCTCTAGGGTGGGCCGTGGAGATTTTAAGGGGCTACGAATGCGTATATGGCTACAGCTTTGAATATTTCATTTAAACAAAATAAATATTTGGTTTTGGCAGTTGAACTACAGATAAAATATTTTTTGGGCATTGCTGCTGAGCAAGATGAACTATTTTTGTTGCCATTATTAGGTACAGACTGTCAGTTGGCATCCTTATGAAGCACAGCTGTTGCTTACTGGGTCATTTGATAGGCAAGGAAAAGTGAAATTATTTATTTGCTACGTCAGTATGCCACCTTACTTTTTCTCGATTTTTGTTTGTAGAACTGCACAAGTCGCCGACTGCAGAAGTCCAGAGGTAGTAGTTATTGCCATTTTAATTCGTTTCAATGCGTATATACGCAGTGGCGTAGCCAGCGTCGATAATGGAGGGGGTATTTATATATACATGTTGCGATCTGTAGAAAACAATTGATTTCAAAGGAACTTAATACGGCATAACATCAATATATGAATATTGCCTGCCCCATCCCCCCCCCGAAAAAAAAAATTATCGATCTGGTCATGACATTGCAGATAAAGCCATTCCCTATGGATTAACACGACATGAAGCGGCCATATTGGTGCATCAAACAAAAGAACTTTGTTAAAATTCTTTTCAATTGCCACACCAATCTGGGGCGGCTATGACGTAAGGTGAAAACGCTCTGTACGCTTTATTCGCAGCAAAGTTGCAAGTCTTGGAAGTTGAAGGGTGAAGTTGAATGTGCGATATGGAACCATTTTTCGCCCTTTCATTTTTTGGTAAGTTTTTGAAATCTTCTTCACTTCTACAAATCATTTGGGATGTTTGAATGAATGCACATTTATGGATGTAATTAAATTTTACTGTTTTGCAACCGTGTTTCTTTTGGAACGATGAAGCTCCCTTATTTCGCATGCCATGCCGACTGTGCTGAAATCCAGGGTAGTCTGTTACTTTGCATACGTAACATTTCACTCTTTAGGACAAGAATTTTGTATAAATAATCAAGCGACAGTAAAACTTTTCTGAAATAACAAATTCATGCATTTTCCAGTGGCACCAATTGAACAATACTTGTGTCCAGTTAAACTTCGACCTTTGGGAGTTTTTCTCTGCCAGGAAATGTTCGTAAAATAACATGGGAAGTAGAAATTCTACTATTTCCCTTCATTTAATTGCATTCTGCGCGTAATCAACGAATCCGAGTAGACTTGTGTTTCCAATTATTTTTCATATTTACGAGAGGGGGAAAAAAATTCAACATCTTCTACAACCCGGTTTTCTATTTTTTTTCCGCGATGCTGGATAAAAAGATGCTCTTCAATATACGTTCTTAATTTAATTATAATGTTTTATCCCAGATGAATGGTTCACTTTGTTTTCATTTGCTACTCCAACATTGTTGCAATATCTACTCTACATTTTGCTCAGATATATGTATAACGACATCAATAAATGACGTAATAATAAAACAGAGACTTTGTCGCGGGGAAAAATTTGATTGTCGCCGAGTTCTAATAAGAACTGTTTTAGAAATTTAAGAAACTGTGTCTTAAATTTCTAAAATAGTTCTTTTGTTCAGAACTTTCGGGTTAGTGTTCTTATTCTAAAACAGTTCTTTTCAGAACTCTTGGTTTTCTCTGGAGAGTTTTTCCTTGGTTTCAGGCCTTTCGCCATGGCAATTGCTCTTTTTAAGACGAAATGACGTAATAAATTTGAAAATTCATCGTGACGTAGCTGAAGTTGAAGTTCGATAGCGGTTCTATTTAGAAATTACAGTACGAGCTAGTGATTTCTATGTGTTGATGAGTGCGAAGCCAAAAACAACAGTCCCATCATGTAAATCGAGAGCAAGTAATCTATTTGTTTTGTGGAATCATGCTAGCATTCATAAAAAAAAGGGTTGCTATGGTTTTCCTTAATTTGCTTTATGCATTTTTTGTTTTTGACATCTTTCATATTAAAAAGCGAATGACTCTCGCTCAATACATGTTAAGTTATTTTAATTGAAATATCTCAAAGTCGTTTTTAGTGTCAACTTTAGTCTTCTCTAGAATTTTCTTTTGAACTAAAAAATCAAGTTTATCGTAAGAAATTTAAGTGAAACGCTAGACGGCAGGGTCGGCAGCCATGATTTTCTACTCGCCATCTATTGCTTTGCTACTTGCTATCTATTGAAAATAGATTGCGAGAAAAGTAGCCAATCAAATTTAAGCATTTGCAATAGAATGCTGTTATAAGTCCACTAATAGTAATAAGTGAAACTCAAAATTTCCTTTGCTGTATTAGGTCCATTTTAAAATCTGCATGAGCACATCTCGTGCCCTACTCCCCACTCTTCCCTATGACCTACAGTACATAGATACACTCAAATGAATGTCGTTCCAATTTTTCATCATCTATTACAGGCAAGCACCGACAAAGGAAATATTTATTGTTGTGATGTCAGATCAAATGATCCAGTTTTCACCTTAAATGCTCATGACGAAGCCGTCACAGGTATAACAGCTATCTCGTGCTTAATGTATTAATCTGAGTTTTCAGTTACGATTTTAAGATGGTTATACGTATGTTGCCGTTGCAAATCTCCACATTATTAAACATGGCGCAATTATAAGTAAAAGTCGAACTTATGATGAAGAAACGTTACGAAAATTAACTAATTTGGTTCCAGCCTTTCTCTTTGTCAATCGACGCTCTAAATAATAAAGATATCACTTTTAACCGGGCTTTGCTTGGTGAAAGAAATTTTGGTTTAGTGACTGAAATTGTCCTACAGAGTTTACTAATTGACTAAACTTCGTTGTGAAAATACTGTTCTATGGCAGTATTCACCTCGATTCCAATGACGTTTACGACTCTCGCCTGTTGTTCTTGCGTCGACAAATGTTTAAATCCGAGAGTTAACAAAAGGTTTTGTGAAAAAAAAGTTGTTTGCTTTTTGCAGGTATTTCATTTAGTAAGCAACTTCCAGGCTGTCTAACTTCCGTCTCGCAGGACAAAATGGTCAAGGTCTGGGATATCGAGGTATGCATATGATTTGTTTGTCCAAATCGATTGTTGAACTTTTTCTTTATGGTTGTCCGCGACTTGTAAAATAATAGAGATTTCGTGAAAACGTTAGGATATATAGCTACTTGAAGATGTCCGCATTCAGGGCCGTAGCAAGAACGCTAATTGAGGGGTGGTGGTATTTATTTATATGCCCGACTGATATCTTTTGAAGGTAAATTTCGTTTCAAGAGAAATTATTCGCCCCCCCCAACCAAAAATTAACGTTTTAGCTACCGTCCTGTTCACACATTTTGTTGCTAACTACGTAGTTTCATATCTTCTTCGTACACCGTTTGCATTGAAGTTAGATTCACATTTCCAAAACAGCGTTTTACACTGTGTTTGGTGTTTTCTTTCCACCGTTGGTTCTTAAAGTCAAGAAAAACTGGAAAGGTTTTGCCATTCCACAATCACACGATTAATATATGGCTTTTTTCATTCGCATCTCCTGTTTTTAGGCACACTCTGGATGTTAGTTTTTCATTCGCATCGCCTGTTTTTAGGCACACTCTGGGTGTTACTTTTGCCACCTTTCAAGTAGGGAGTTATTATAAAGTTTGGGGACTGAAAAGAAGCTGGGGGATGAATAAATATTCAAATAAAATTGCCTGCGTATGCTAATTCACGCCATCACATGCATTAATATTATGTTCTTATACTTAATTCATTGCGTGCATAAGTGCATTTTCTGAAAAGAAAATTTTAAGCACGTGACCTTACGTTCCGTTATCTTTTTAACAGAACAACACGCCATCTTTTGTGGTGTCAAGAGACATGAAAATGGTTTGTCCTACTTATTGATGTTGTTCGTGTTGTTTTACTGATATCTGTGTAACTTTTGACAATAAATCACCCTATTTTTCTTTTGTCCCCGGGGTCTATTTTTACCATCTTTCAACTGGGAGATTATTAGAGGAGAGTTGAAAATAGCCTGGAGGCTAAATATATTTTCACACCACCATTACACGTTTCATCAATTGGTATAATGCACCATCTCATGTTTCATCAATGATTATAATGCACCATCACATGTTTCATCGATAGTTATAATGCACCATCACATGTTTAATCAATGGTTATAATCCACCATCGCATTTTTTATCAATGGTTATAATCCGCCATCTCATGATTTATTAATGCATAATGCATCATCACATGTTTCATCAATGGCTGTAATGCACCATCACATGTTTCATCAATAGTTATAATGCACCATCACATGTTTAATCAATGGTTATAATCCACCATCGCATTTTTCATCAATGGTTATAATCCACCTTTACATGTTTTATCAATGGGTATAATGCACCATCACATGTTTCATCAATGGTTATAATCCACCATTATATGTCTTATCAATGGTTATAATCCACCATTACATGTTTCATCAATGGTTATAATGCACCATTACATGTTTCATCAATGGGTATAATGCACCATTACATGTTTCATCAATGGTTATAATCCACCAATACATGTTTCATCAATGGGTATAATGCACCATTACATGTTTCATCAATGGCTATAATGCGCCATCGCATGTTTTATTAATGGCTATAATGCATCATTACATGTTTAATCAAACGTTATAATGCACGATCACATGTTTAATCAGTAGGTATAAAGCACGATCACGTGTTTCATCAACGGCTAGAATGCACCATCACATGTTTAATCAATGGTTATAATGCACCATCACATGATTCATCAATTGGTATAATGCACCATCGCACTTTTCATTTATAGGTATAATGCACGATCACATGTTTAATCAATGGTTATAATGCACCATCACATGTTTCATCTATAGGTATAATGCAAGATCACACTATTTAATCTTTAAATACTTCGGTGACACTTTTCATTCTTACGGCGTCAGAAAATTGTTCGCACTGCTTCCTTGAAAATGATTTTCGAAATCTCTATTCTCGCAGGGCTCCATTCTCAACATATCGTCGTCCCGATAGTCCTTATGTATTTGCTTTGGGTGGTGAAAAACAAGGCCTACAGTTGTTTGATATAATACAAAGTGCACCAGGTTTATATATATATTTTTTATTGCTTGTGTTGTTACTTGTCTACTTACCATCTGTTTATCGAACTTTAATTTGTTTGTACCAACAAGCTGTCTTTAACATTTCAGTGATAAATTTTGTTTTGTACAAAACAATTTTGTTGTTGAAATATAGGCTCATCCTATGTCAAATCATCAGACGGTTGTAACTCAAAATTTTGGATTTTGCTCATTTTTACACGAATGATAGATATATGTAAAAACTGAACACATACAAAGTTTGAGGTCAATATCTTAAAAGATGGTTGAGTTACGGCTGTTCAAAAAATTGCTAATTCTAGCACATCATATTCATAAAAAGTCACTTCCGGTGAAAGGCCTAGCTGCAAAACTTGTTAAAATAGTGTATAGTAGTGTGATATTGTTCCAATACTGGTGATATTGGTGCAATTTTTATACGTCCCGGACTAAATGCAAGGCTATGTCATGTTTTATGTGAAAGATTACATATCCAACTATTTGAAACGACTAATTTGACAATTTGCATTTCACAGAGACAAATGGCAGCTACATTAAAAAAAAACATCATTTACAGGACATTTTCCTGACATTAAAAACGCATTTTGAAATTGCTAATTAGAATGTTTATTCGATTACAAATGCAGATTGCTTTTCATACTAATTTCAAGGTAGAGAACGTGGGACATTTAATTATTTTTACAGCAGCTTTACCATGTGTACGAGTGATGTCTCTGAGAATTTTATGTAGTTTATTTGAAAATGTTAATACTTGTATGTTGTATTGATGTCCAGCACTTATGCAGGAACATATTATTTTCCTTCAAAACGAAGTTCAAGTTTGCTCTAAACTGCATCCAAAGACCTTCAAAATTGCAGGTTTAGTTTGAATGATTTTCATGCCTAAGTGCGAACGCGTCAATTCTTTGACATTGGTATTCATTTGCAAAGATAAAAACGATGGCAAACCTTATAAATCGTGCCTTTGCCATTGTGTTGTTGCTAAGAGATGATATAAACGCGTTTTCTGGCCAAAATTTGGGAAAAGCAATCAAAGACACCGTACCGTGTGTATTGTGTGTATAGTGTGTTTAGTGAGTATAGTTTGTATGGTGTGTATGGTGTTAATAGTGTGTATGGTGTGTATAGAGTGTATAGTGTGTATAGTGTGTATAGTGTGTATAGAGTGTATAGTGTGTATAGTGTGTATAGTGTGTATGGTGTGTATAGTGTGTATAGAGTGTATAGTTTGCATAGTGTGTATAGTGCGTATAGAGTGTATGGATTGTATAGAGTGTATAGTTTGTATCGTTGTATAGTTGTATAGGTGTATAGTGTGTATTGTGTATAGTATGTATAGTGTGTATAGTGTGTATAGTGTGTATAGTGTGTATAGTGTGTATAGTTTGTATAGTGTGTATAGTTTGTATAGTGTGTATAGTGTGTATAGTGTGTATAGTTTGTATAGTGTGTATAGTGTATAATGTGTATAGTGTGTATAGTGTGTATAGTGTGTATAGAGTGTATAGTTTGTATGGTGTGTATAGTGTGTATAGTGTGTTTAGTGTGTATAGAGTGTATAGTGTGTATAGAGTGTATAGAGTAACTTTGAAAATTGGTAATCAAGGCATTTAATACATAAAAGATAAAGGTTTCTCCGGATTTTAAATGACTTTCTTATTGAGCTTTCGACTCATTAATGATGATGATGATGATGATGATGATGATGAAACTTTATTAAAGAGGGTACGTGACACAACAAGTGTGAAAAACTTGTGGCCCTCAAACTAACAAACTACGAGATCAATTACAATTTAAAAACCAGAATTACACAAGACTAAAATACTAAAAAAACTGAATAATAAATTATTCTGTGAGCATATCTGAATTAGTTTTATCATAAAGTTTCTTTTTAAAAAGTGTAGCTGATGAACGTTTACGCATAGTAAGAGGTAAACTGTTCCAAAATCGACTTGCATTAGCAGCAAAAGATCTCCCACCATCATTTTGTTCTTTTTTTTGGGTAAACAAATTGTTAAGTCTTTATAACGAATATTTCTATTGTGGCGACTGGCATTTGTTGGTAGAATATCAATAATATAAGATGGACAGTTACCATAGAAACGTTTATGACAAATCATGGCCTTTCTAATTTCCACTTCTTTACTAAAAGGTATCCAGCTCAATTTGGAAAAGAGTGGAATACTCCTATCGCGTGTTGAGGCATCTAGAATTACGCGAGCTGCTCTCTTTTGTAATTTTGTAATTTGATCCAAGTTATCTTTTGTTGTATTTGACCAAACACAGTTACCAAACATCATAGAAGATTTAATAGTGGCATTATAAAACGCAATGCGTTCATCCAATGGTAGATAATATCTTAACTTTTTAAAATGGCCAATTCGTTTAGCTAATTTGGAACATAGCTTATCAATATGATTTGAAAACTTAGGTCTTCATCTAAAATGATTCCCAGAAGCATCTGGTGGAAACCTGCTCTAACATATAATTCCCATTAATATGAACACACAATAATGTAGATGAATTTACCAATTTCTTTGCAATTCTTTTTGCAGTGATAAGCATAGTTTTTGATTTTGTAGAGGTAAGCACCATTAAATTTTTATTTGCCCACGAGTTCAAATTAGTTGTATCCTCTTGCGTGAAGACGTTCGTAGGTGGTGGTATCTTGTAGGAGGGTTTCGGCTTTGTCGATGTATTCTCGTCTGTCCATGATAACTGTTTTGCGTCCTTTGTCAGCTCGTAATATGATTATTTGGTCGTCGTTTTGTAGGTTTTTAATTGCTCGTAGTTCTTCGTAGTGTAGGGTGACAGGTGGTTTGTGGCAGAGGTTATTTGTGATATTGTTTCGAATGTCTTCTTTCGTTTGGTCTGTTAAGTTGGTGTACTTTAAAAGCGGATTCCAGGTCGGCAACGTAGTCAAGTCTACAAGACACCACCACCACAACGTGGTCCCTCCTACAAGACACCACCACCTACGAACGTCTTCACGCTGACCCCAAAACGACCACCAACCGTATCAACCAGAAACTGAAACAACTAAAAGACAAAAAGAAACTAAACGAAAACGACTACAGAAGAATCCGACCCAATGACGCATCCACCGCAAACGACAAAACTTGGCAAGCTACAACACAACTAGACAAAAATGACATCCTAGACTTACTCAATCTTTGCCTCTCCACTGAATTCACCTTCCAAAACACATACTACAGACAAATCTCAGGCACACCAATGGGATCACCACTATCCACCTTCCTCGCAGAAGCCGTCATGCAACACCTCGAAACAAAATCAGTCACAAACAACATTAAACATCAGACTATGGAAAAGATATGTCGACGACATCTTTGCCATAGTCAAGAAAAAGAAAACTGAACAAAGCCTACACACCATAAACAATACCACAAAGAACATTTACTAAAGACGAAGAACAAACAACTTACATTCCTCGACATCCTACTAACCATAACAGATGACGGTACACTAAACACACAAGTATACCGCAAAACCACACAGACCAAATCTCAATTTCAACAGCAATCATCCAACACAACACAAAATAAGCTGCATTCGAACACTCATTAACAGGATAAACACTCATTGTAACACCGAAGAAGCCAAAAACAACGCAACTACTTATACTCAACATTTATTAAAACAATTACACTAGAAACTTCATAAACAAAACTATATACAAAATACAAAACAAACACAAACTTACAAAAGCAACAAAAACCAGACGAAACAGTAAAAATCGTCACATTACCATACACAAACGGGTCATCAGAAATGACTGCCAGACTTCTTCGACCATTTAATATTAACGTCGCCCACAAACCTCAAATCATGTTTCACCAAACATAAAGACAAAACAACAGTTCATGATACAACTGACGCGATCTACATGATACCATGTAAAGACTGTTCAAAGCAATACATAGGACAAACATCAAAGAAAATTGAAACAAGTCTCACAGAACACAAAAACGCCATAAAACGACGAGATCCGAACTCACTACCGGCAGAACATACCCACGGAAACAACCACACATTCGACTGTAGAGAAACTAAAGTACTCGGACGCGCACAGACTAAACACGCACGCGAATTTAAAGAAGCTTGGTACAGTAAAGACAACGACACAATAAACAGACATATCGACGTACCCATCATATACTCACAACTAAAGAAAAACGACAAAAAAACTACAAACAACACCAAAACTACAACACTACACTCTAATAGTATTAACACCGATCATATTCTCAATACAGCAAAACCCATAACGCATTTCACCCCATCCAATCACATTAATCCACCCGCTAATCCAATTAGACGCTCTAAGCGTCTACAAGCTAAAAGCGTGTAAATAAATAATATCCTCGTTCTGATGAAGGCTCGAAAACGAGTCGAAAGCTCAATAAAAAGTCATTTAAAATCCGGAGAAACTTTTATCGTTTAGCGTATAGAGTGTATAGTGTGTATAGTTTGTATAGTGTGCATAGTTTGTATAGTGTATAGTGTGTATAGTGTATGGTGTGTATAGTTTGTATAGTGTGTATAGTGTGTATATTGTGTATAATGTGTATGGTGTGTATAGTGTGTACAGTGTGTATAGTTTGTATGGTGTGTATAGTGTGTATAGTGAGTGTATAGCATGATAAACATGTGTGCTACATTGTGTTTGGAAAACAAGGACGTAACTTGAGTCTCACGATTGCATTGTGATGACTTAATTTAGGCGACTGATTAAATCGTGCACTGTATATAATTTGATTGACGAAAGACCTTGGAATAATTTTGGTTTTTCATTGCATGTGAAAACGGTTTTGTAGAAAATTTCGTAATAATGTTGCAAGTTTGTTGTTTTTCTTTCACACAGCTTCGAAACATTTTGAAAATCGACAATGTTTGATGAACGTTACTACACGACCATCCTCATCAAATGGTGATGAAATGTTAAAGGTTTGTTTCATTTATTTCTCTCCTGGGGAATATTTCAATCGTCAATACTTTTCTGCTCAGCGTATGTCGTTTTCTTTGAAACAAACTACCAACGCTACAGAAAAATTGTTTAGTCACTCGTCTATGTTATTGGAAGTAAAATCCACAGTTTTACCGAACTCTTTAATTGTTGCCCAATATCTTGGGTTTTTTTCGCATGTAAAATGATCTCGATAAAAATTAAGTTAAAATTAGAATCAACAAGGAAATGAATGAATGAACTTTAGTCTTTTGGCATTAGGTCCATAGTCTATATTATTTGGGAGTTGGATGTGTGGAAAATGAAACTTTCAAAGACAATGTTTCAAAAGTTTTGTGAGTAAACTGTGGTACTTGAGCTTGTGCGATGTCCTGACTCTAATTGGAGAAGATTTGAAAATGTAGCGTCTACATACATATATCCTTTGAATTTTTGCAGGCGGAGCCTGGCGAAATAAGCAAAGAGGAGGAAAATATGGACATCGACGCTGCTTTTGCATTGAAGTCACTTAGTTTGGATAAAAATGAAGGTAATGTCCCGTCTGCAAAAAAGATTGTGAAAAAGAAAAAGAAAAAACGAAAATGAACACTTGATTGATCAAATGACATTGTCATCTAAAGCAGGAATCTCAATAAATTATGTATTTGCAACGACAACAGCAAGATGAAATGGATATTATTTCTCCATCGACGTTTATGCCCTCTTTTGTGAAATTACTTTAATATGTTGTTCATGTCGTCTTTAAAAATTACGAGTTTTTCATATGTCGTTCATGTCGTCTTTTAGATAATAACGACTTTTTCAAATTTTCATTTTGTCGTTTAGAAAATAGCTAAAGACTTTTACAAATGTCTAAAGGTAAACATAAAGGCAGACACAAAGGTAGACATAAAGATAAACATTCAGGCAGACATAAAGCTAGACATAAAGGTGGACATAAAAGTAAACATAAAGGTAGACATAAAGGTTGACATAAAGGTAGACATAAAGGTAAACATAAAGGTAAACATAAAGGTAGACATAAAGGTAGACATTAAAGGTAAACATAAAGGTAAACATAAAGGCAGACACAAAGGTTGACATAAAGATAGACATTCAGGAAAATAAAGGTGTGAAATAATGTGAAAATTTGTGAAAATGCGTGATAGTCTTTGTGTGAAAAAATGTTAAAATTGTGAAAAGGCGTGAATTATAATATTGTGTGAAAAATTGTGAAAATTTGTGAAAATGCGAGAATTATAGTCTATGTATGAAAAAATGTGAAAAGGCGTGAATTATAGTCTTTGTGTGAAATAATGTAAAAATTTGTGAAAATGCATGAATTATAGTCTTTGTGTGAAAAAATGTGAAAATGCGTGAATTATAGTCTTTGTGTGAGAAAATGTGGAAAATGTGAAAATTTATGTGAAAATTTGTGAAATTGTGTGAAAGAATGTGAAAATTTGTGAAAATGAGTGAATTATGGTACAACTTTTATAACTGCAGCATACAAATATAAAAATGTTAACTAAAATCAATGTTTAAAATATCCATGATAATTTTCAAAATACTAGCTTGAAAAAAAAGGACAGTCAGGTGTAAAGACAACTTTCCCAATAACCAAGGTCAATATTTAAAGTGCGTTCGCGAGTTGAGGCAGATCGACTTCCTCGTATCGCAGTAATTGCTGACCTAATCAGTGCGAAAGACAGATTTTAACGCATCCACGCTAGTGTGATGCCATATTGCAGCTTTCTCTTTTTTGCCAGCAGATCAGCTAGCCGTTTATAAGCAATTGCCGTCTCTTTCCCCATACCACCTGATGTTGAATAGACCAGTGGTGTAAAAGCAGCATATTCAATCTCTCTTACTCGATCCCCATATTCCCTTTTCTTAGCCATCTCATGCAGACGAGAGAGTGCAGGTAGATTGGTGTTTTGGTAGCTCGACGCGCTTGGGTGAAATACCCTTACATCAAAAAATGCATCTTGCTGTCTAGACCAAAAACCTTTAGCGCGAATGTCTAGTCTCGCTTCTTCTTGCCTATTGGCTGTACGAGGTAATATCACTTCCCCAGAAAGAGGTTGTAATTGTGGCTCTTTCTCAACTGTCGAGCAAACTTCTGCCATCCACTGCGCTGTTATATCTCGAACTTCATTATGTCTCACTATTGGTAATCCACCATGAGGACATATCATCGCGTGATCGGTTGCAAAAGCCTTTCCACAAATGCAGTGCTGAGGGGTATTTTTCAATTGCCATCCATAACGTAAACTTAATGCATCTCGAAATTCCCCTTTGTTCAAATTAAAGCCTTGATCTTGTAAAGGAAGTACACTTAACCATGATGACGATCCTTTTTCGCTTAGTATATCTAGCTTCCTTTGCATTGTTGGCGTAAAACTATCTCTTATTTCCTGGATCATATCATCAACTTTCTTCATCTTTTGCTCTCGTAACATCATTTTGATTGACTGTAACTGAGGTTTATGAAGTATCTCTTCCTGTTGAACAATCATCTCTTTCAGGCATTGACTGATCTTTTTGGAAGCAAGATATTCTTCATTTGCATTTTTAACTGGGTTGATAATATTTATACCACCGAATCGTATAGGAAGTGAAAGGAGTGCTCGTTCATCTGGATTGCATTGGTTTCTTCCAGTGAGTGATGGTATAAATGTCTGCGAAATTGCATCTTCCAGAGGTTGAAATAACTCACTGATGTTCTCAACTGTTCGCATTATATAGCGCCACTTTCCCATTATACAATGAGAAAACGCCGCAAACGCTGATTGGGGATAACGTTCTGCAATCTTTGAAAGACTTTCAATTTCTTTCACAAATACCCCAATCTTTCTTGCCATATATTCTTGGACGAACAAATTGGAGCCAATCGCTGATCCCAACATTCCATGGCCTTCAGTTGTTATATTAATTTCTGTTCCTCCAAAATGGTTTATCGCTTCTTCCATGGGCTGGGACTTAACAACAATATACGTTTTACTTCCCTTTGGCAAATAACCCATCATTGGTCAAGTGTCAGATATGTTTTTCCACCATCTTCTTAAAGACTTTATTTTCCCACCACATGTAGCATCATCAGCAAACCACACTTGCTTGACTGTTGGTTCTTCTGACCTAAGCCTACGAATCAAAGGTGTAACTGCAAGTGCATACATTGCCATTGCGAGCGGATCCCCTTGTGTAATCCCTTCTGCTGACTGAATTTCTCCTCCTCCAGTAACAAACAGCCTAACTGGCACTTGATAGGTATTATTTAGTACAGTTGATATTGAGGGACAAATTATTGCAATGTTATGCAGTGCTGCTTGCCGATTGATAGTGTTAAAAGCATTGGTAGCATCTACTTGTAGTACAGCTTGTGTTTCATCTGATGACATGATCTCATTCATTGCGTGGATTGCCGCTTCACATCCTGCTTCATGACCTGCACATGCTTGTAAAGGCCCTGCTGCTTCCTGGACATCTTTCCCAACCACTGTAAGAATCGCCTTTGCTACAATCCGCCGTGGAACTTCACCAACACCTATCGGACGTATTCCAGAATTCTTATCTAGCGGTATTAACCGACACGCTACAAAAGCTGACAAACCATCGGGACTGACAGATGAAGTACATAGACGCCTGGCAACCCCTGCAAGTGCATTACACAGGTCAACTGATGCCTCTAAATGAAGAGCAAAAACGCCTCCAGGCATATGCGTCTACTGATGGACCAGCTGCCCCGTGTGTGTTGTTTGCGGCTACTTTTATTGCTTCTCCGGTAATTTGGTCAAAAATTATAGGATCATAACAAATTTCATCAACTTCCACCTGTTTTATAAATGTTTCCACATTTGGGACAGTACCTTGTGGATGTTTTTCTAACAAAAGTTCTCTTGTCGTTTTCCAAATCTTTTCACCTTTCTCATTTTCTCCAACATGAATAAGTGAATCGATATTTAGCAAGCATCCTTTATTTGCATTGGATATTAATCGGACCGCTTGTTTTGTCTTTCCTTGAAGCATGAGGCGATTGAATCCTCTCGCAATTTTTTCCGATTCCGTTTTAATATTGCATTTTGCAACAAGATTTTTCTGTATACATTTTCCTTCAGAAACCAATTTATCAATTTTACCTTGCTCAACCTACGTTCTAAACATTGTATATGTTCCTTTGTTTTACTTTTTGCATGTGGTTTTTGTAACAATACGCACTGCATGACTGAACAGGCCTTCAAGCAACTCTTTCACAAGCTGATATATTTGCATTAGCTGAATATAATCTTGCAAGTTCCGAAATGAATGCTTTCCCAACTTTTCCAGATGGTAAAAGGAAGATATTTCGCTTCCACTGAATGGTTTCTTCTTATGCTTTGTTGATGCACTCAGTAAACTCTTCTCCAGTGAGATCCGCCCATTTAAACTTACTGGGTTTGTCAACATGCTCAGCCGACAAATCATAATTTGCATTATTTACTTCCCCATTTCTGTTAGTTTCTGAATCAGTATTGACGTTTTCATGTTGAATTCTCTCTTGAACATCGTTTGTAGTTGTTTCGTTAACTTCAGTGCGATCGCTGAATCTACTTTGACCATTTTCCTGTCGAGCTTTTATCATTTGAGCGGCTTTATCTCGAAGATTTTGTGCTGTTAAACCCAAGGATGTATATCCCTTTTCTTCCCATAAAATTCTCATTTCCATATAACCCGGTCCTTGCTTTCGGTTTTTCTGACAATTTCGTTTTTCTATGGCTCTTTCTCGACATGATAAGAGATCTTTTATCATTTCATTTGTCCATTTTCTTCTTGATGATATATTCTTTAAACTTTTGGATGACATGCCTCTTCTCCAAAGTGGCTATTCTTAGTAATGGGTGAATTATAGTCTTTGTGTGAAAAAATGTGAAAATTGTGAAAAGGCGTGAATTATAGTCTGTGTGAAAAAATGTGAAAATTGTGAAAAGGCGTGAATTATAGTCTGTGTGAAATAATGTAAAAATTCGTGAAAATGCATGAATTATAGTCTTTGTGTAAAAAAATGTGAAAATTGTTAAAATGTGAAAATTGTGAAAATGCGTGAATTATAGTCTGTGTGAAAAAATGTGAAAATTGTGAAAAGGCGTGAATTATAGTCTGTGTGAAATAATGTAAAAATTTGTGAAAATGCATGAATTATTGTCTTTGTGTGAAAAAATGTGAAAATTAGTGACTTATAGTCTTTGTGTGAAAAATTGTGAAAATTTGTGAAAATGCGTGAATATGCGCGAATTATAGTCTTTGTGTGAAAATTTGTGACAATGCATGCATTGTGTAAAGGCGTGAATTATAGTCTTTGTGTGAAAAATTGTGAAAATGCGTGAATTATAGTCTTTGTGTGAAAAAATGTGAAAATTGTGAAAATGCGTAAATTATAGTCCTTGAAAAAATGTGAAAATTTATGACAATGCATGAATTATGGTTTTTGTGTGAAAAAATGTGAAAATTAGTGACAATGCATGAATTATAGTCTTTGTGTGAAATAATGTAAAAATTTGTGAAAATGCGTGAATTATAGTCCTTGTGTGAATAAATGTGAAAATTTGAGACAATGCATGAATTATAGTCTTTGGATGAAAATGTGTTAACATATAGGTAGACATAAAGGTAGACATAAGGGTAGACATGAAGGTAGACATATATAGTTATAATTCACGCACTTTTTACACATATTCATGGTAGGACTATAATTCTGCATTTTCAAAATTTTCACGCAAAGACAGTGTAATCGTGTAATATATATATGTAATTCAAAGGACTATACTTGAATAGAATAAGACTTCACATTAATGTAGTCCATTACACTCGAGGCTTAAATAGATTAAACTGAAATTTTCAAATATATTAATCTTTCTTATTCTACAAATAATCTATAAAAATCCATACATTTCAATCCAACAAGCTATAAAGAGAAAACTAAAGAACTATAACAACATAATTAATCATTACAAACGATTTCTCACATAATTCAATCTCTCTGTTTAATTTTAGTTTAATGTACGCAAAAATACAGGCAAAAATGTAGCTGAGAAGAACAGGTTGTAACTCTTTTTAAGGCACTTGATTTGTCGCTGAAAGTTTCGGTTTTGTTATAAACTTTGTGTTAGGAGCAACTCAGCCACAAATTTACCACTCTCTACACTATCTTCGTTTAATTCATAAGCAATAAACCATCTAAAGCTCTCATTTCATCAATACTATGTAATAAAAAACACCATTAATGCATAACAATTTCCTACCACTGTATAATATAAACGATGCATAAAGTGTGTTTCTTCTGTTTCCGATTTTTCGAGTGTCTTCGCAGTGTTCGACATAATTAACTTCATGGTCACTACCCCAAAGGAACGCTTGCAAATTCTTTTCTTGTTTTGACCAACACAGCCACCAATGATGGATACTTTTCACTCCGTGGGGCAAAATGGTACACAACTTGCCAAGGACATAATATTATCAGGATAATCCTTTCAAGAGAGACGCCTCTAGAACTATATTGTATTCAGCCAGCGACCCAAGTACGTTCACTAAGTACCGAATTAAGCCTTTATCCCGTAAAAATGAATTCTGTTCGTACATATTGGTTGTGACAGGACAAATAGAGATCAAAGGAAACCACTTTTCCAGTGAATGATCCCTAAAAAGAAAAACAGAAAATCCTTGTTAATGTCGTTCATTTGGAAGATAAATACAATCCATGGACCATGGTAGGTTAAGATCCATGGAGGCTATGTAATGATGGTTATGACAAAAGATGATATTCAACTGTTAATTAGACGGTCAGACAGTCGACGGTCATACGATGACAGTTGATGTTATCAATAAGGATTGTTGACTGTCCTATATGACAAATAGCGCCATCAATACGAAAGATGATGATGATGATGACGATGACGATAATGTTGACGTTGATGACGATGATGATGACAATGATATGATGATGACGATGATGACGTTGATGACGACAAAGATGATGATATGGAAAATAATGACGACAATGATGGATAAAATAATGGCGTTAACTTCACGAAGAGAAATCTCGGTGATGATTATAAATATGTTGGAAAAAGTTATTATGATCTATCTGGAGAGAATTCCCACCTTTCCATCTTTGCCTACAGTTTGTGAGGCATCATTAATCTTCTGTACGATGGAGCAAAACGACAACTTTGCTGGACGCTGCTCGGTTAGAATATATGTCCCTTCGTCCGATTTTAGATAGATGTTTACTTTTTCTGGGAAGAATGAGATTTAAAGACATTCAGAAAAGCGCACAATACAGTAGCAACCCAACAAATAATTGCAAATTTATTTCATACCAATAAAATCCCAAATGAAAAAGTTCTTCTGAAAAATACGTGAGGACTTGAAACCGTAATGAAACACCTAAAAACAAAGCAGTCAACAGTGTAGGAGACAAACAAGGTTACCTCCCGCAATGAGGAAAATAGAACATAAATACGCGACAATGTTTGTTGGGAACACATCTTCTTTCTTTGAGCATCGATAGTAAATGTTGATGTTCATACCTGCTCCAATGAGTCACAAAGTCCATTTTCACCACATAATAAATACGTTAAATATCCTCTCTAGCAAGAAAATGTAATCACCATCATAAAGGGGATAAGGAAGAATCCGAACGAAAGCAGAGAATTTCAAGGCGATATAACGACTGTATATTATTGTTATGATCACATCAAAAATCGCATCTTTTAGATGTTTCCTAATTAATACATTTATTATTCTACATACTACATAATGTCGACAAGGAAGTACTGATAACACAAAAATAGTGTTTCGCTATACTATGCGACGGACATTTTAAAATAAAATCAACAACCTCTTCCGATTCCTCTGTGCAAAAGTATTTCACGATCTTATTGACAGCATTTGCAAGGTTTTCTTGAACCACAGAAATTTTATTCTCTAGAAAATTCAGTGAGACTTTAAAATGTAAAATCTAGACCATATAACTCTTGTAAGTTGTCAACCTAGACTATAAAACTCCTGTAAGTTGTCAACCTAGACCATATAACTCCTGTAGGTTGGTAACCTAGACCATATAACTCCTGTAAGTTGTCAACCTAGACCATATAACTCCTGTAGATTGGTAACCTAGACCATATAACTTTTGTACGTAGATTGGGAAATGCCAACTGATTATATGATCAAAATAACGTGGACATCTACTGCCTACTCACTTTCTGCATTTTTTTTCGTCATGACCGGTGATCGTCTTTGCGGAGAATTCGATGTTGAATACGACATGTCTAAGTTACACAGAACACGATGTATGTAAAATAGACAGAACACGATGTATGTAAGACAGACAGAACACGATGTATGTAAGACAGACAGAACACGATGTATGTAAGATAGACAGAACACGATGTATGTAAGATAGACAGAACACGATGTATGTAAAATAGACAGAACACGATGCATGTAAGATAGACAGAACACGATGTATGTAAGATAGACAGAACACGATGTGTGTAAGATAGGCAGAACACGATGTATGTAAGACAGACAGAACACGGTGTATGTAAAATATACAGAACACGATGTATGTAAGACAGACAGTACACGATGTATGTACAATAGACAGAACACGATGCATGTAAGATAGACAGAACACGATGTATGTAAGATAGACAGAACACGATGTATGTAAGATAGACAGAACACGATGTATGTAAATAGACAGAACACAATGTATGTAAGATAGACAGAACACAATATATGTAAGATAGACAGAACACGATGTATGTAAGATAAACAGAACACAATGTATGTAAGATAGACAGAACAGGATGTTATATGAAAGAGAGCACAATAAACATTAAAAAATCTATCTACAGAAACATACCCTCATTATGGTTATTGTTGTGTATTCTTTGAAGCTCGCCAACCAACAACCTCTCCGTACTACCATCGTCATTGCTTTTTGATAGCCATCGACCACAAGGAAATCTATAAGTTTAAAAAATTGAGAAACTTAGATATTATTTAAAGCACTTATACATGTATACAACGTATACATGACGTAATCATGACGTAACAATGTAAAATTACCTGTATAAATGTCCAGTGATTTCATTACGAACTAACACGTGCTCAACAAACCATCCTGGAGCGTAGCCAGAGTTATCATGACCAATTCGTAATGTCGTCAGTTTTCCAACATTCGGATGCTGTGATTAAAATACTCCATTAAAATCAAGTTGAAAACTCCAAGCAAATTCTTTAGATCTTTTATTGAAAATGAGCTTGATTCTTTTAGGTAAGCCAAGATAAGGGCGAATGTATTGGTTGTATGACTTCCGGTGTTCAATAGCCTACTAGTGTTGCATGACGTAGTTCTGAAATATTTATCATTGCCTTGATGCTTTAAGCATTGACTGCCTTCGGCTTGTTGGGGCTGCATTTCATGCCCTAGCCTGTTATCATCACATTTACTCTAAGTGCGGCTATCTAGCATATAATATTTATTTTTTCCCCTCGATTGCTCTGTTTATATATCATGTGCCCGAGGGATGTCATGTGCCTGAGGGATTTCATGTGCCAGAGGAATGTCATGTAGAAGTGTCGTGACGTACCCCTTATCACTACCACTAAAAGGATGTACAATTTTACTAAAACCTATATCATCTAGCCTGCCTTTATTGCATAGCCTTAATATATATATATATATATACATACGGCTACTGCCTAATCCTAGCCTGCATTACATGAACCGTTGACCACAAATGACAGCGAGACTCTGCTCTTCATTCTTCATTTATTAACCCGCGGTTAACTCAAAACGTAAAAGCGTTGCAAGATCATGGCAAAAAAATTGAAAACAGGGCATATCAAATAAATCAGAAAAAGAAAAAGGTCTACATCGGAACATACAAGAAGCGCATTGCTGTTACAAAATTTTTAATTTTTACGTAGAGAAATGCAATCGTTTAAGGCGCAATTTGTTTGATAAAAATACTTTTGTAAAGGAGAAACAGATAAAAACAGAATTTGCACAAACTCAACAAGTAAAAAAAACCCAGAATTATTACCTGAAAGCGAAACTCGCATGCGCCCTTGGGTACATAAATAATTCCAGTATCTTTAATCTCACCAGCCAATATCATCCATACATTTGCCGTGGTCGTACTCCCACCCAAATGCTTTCCTGTCACTATGACAACCTTATACGTGATGGCTGAAAATATGAATTGCAAACCGTTGACTGCAATAAAAGACGAGCAGGAAAACTGTCTAGTTCCTGTATATAATACATAGGTGCGGACTGTACTGTTTGGGTAGAGAAACCCAGACAAAACGAACCGTAATTGAAAACAATTTTCAAACTAACATAAAATGAAATAATTCTTGATAACAAACCGCTACTTGATACTTGATAAAGTGAAAGGTTTGAAACAGTAGCGTTACATATTTTGAAGATGCAGACGGTCCAGGTTAGTAGAGTCCAGAGGACTGCGGTTTCTCCACTAGCCTGGCCGATCTACATCTACAAACATGTAATGATACTTGACAATTTGGAAAATCTAGCGCTGAGTAGTTAATGGTTATTTTGGGAGTCGTATATGCGCAGATAATGAGAGGTAGGATTTGAGATGAGCCGATCAAATTCCACAACATCTCTTTATACAATGTAAAAGAAATGAAATTTCTACCTAATGTTGTAAAGCAATTGGTGAAACAGAAGTATTCCACAGCGTTCAATGACAATAGGTATACGAGAAACTGTTCTCTTTCTTCTTCTGTACGAACAAATGCGTAATTTTTGTAGAACTTCCTATAAGTAAAAAACGCAGTAAGAAATATGTTACACAAAAATGTTACTTTACGAACGAGTGCATTATTTTTATAGTGTTATTTCCTTCTAGTAAAAAACACAGTAAGAAATATGCTACACGAAATACTACAGTACGAACGAATGCACAAATTTTTGCAGTACTTCCAATTTCCAGTATGAAATACAAGTTTCACACGGCTTTTGCTTACGTCAAAAGAAAGAAAAATAAAATCACCTACAATCACGGCCACTTCCTAACAATAACATAGTGCGTTTGTAAATAAAACACATTCGATGATCACAAACTATATTTAAGCCGCCAATTTAATGATTAAACTTACAATCAAGTACTAATAATCAAATTAAAACACACATCACAGACACATCGAGTTACCTTAAAATTTCTTTATCATTCAGTAATGTTTTCAAATGTTTTGAAAGCGTTTTCTTCTCTAAGGCCAACCTAAGATAGATACACATAAACTATATGGGTGTTATACTCATGTTGCAGTGAAACTGTAAAAGAGAAATGTTTCTATGCTGCCGTTAGCTGATAATGCCATCACAGACATAAGGTTCATTGAAAATCGACGCAATACACAGAATATGGCAAAGAAACAATAAAACATTAGCAACTTTTAGCACCTAATATCTTATATAACTTCGGCATCATCAATCGTCTGAACAAAAACAGTTTTCAAAACCCCATTTGGAAATGCGAGTCAGAACCTCGTTGAAGAGATGCATCATTGAAATTTGAGAAACTACTTTCCGACTCATCGATATTGTAAAAATAATCAACGTGCCTTTGCTTCGCACTCGTGTTTTTGAAAAATGGTTCTACATATTTTGAGAATTTCATGTATTACTTGTTGAAAGTTCCTGCTGAAACAGGAGTCGACAAAAATTAAATGTTAACTGTGAATTGTGAATTAAATGTTAACTGTGTCTACTGGCATTCTTGGACTGTTAATACAAACATCAAAAATATTTAGAAGATTTATCTCTTCACTTGGACATTAGTCTGCAACATCATTACCTGACAAATGCACGAAGACATCCATTATCAGTCTTGATTTCCGTCAGATTCTTTACACTTCTTTGATTAAAATTTAAAAAAAATAAAAAGGAACTTAGCAACAATTTTCAAAAAAAACTTGAGGAATCTTTCTGACCTTATATACATTTTAAAATCATTGTATTGAAATCATTGTAAATCAGTGTTACATTTAAAAAAAACTTATTTTTATCCAGCTCCGTATTGGAAAGGTATTTCATTTTTCCATTTCACACAATTCATTTTTAAATTAAAATTAATTTTATGGTAACTTTCTGTGTACTTTTTTCGCCATGCAGTTTGTCCAAAGTACCACTCTATGGAAATCAGATCCAAGCCTGAATTTTAAATGGTTCTTAATTTTGCAGTAACATCACTTTTCTTAATCAGATTTACATCGCTGTAAATTTTCATTAATTTCGACTTTCGTTATTCACAAAAAGTAAATTATAGCTACATTATATAATAACCAAAAGAGTTTGAGCAATATCATTGGTCGAGAGCTATGATCTATAAGAGGACATACGCAGGGAAATGACGTCATAGAAATTTCTTGTTTTTAATTACAAACGAAGGACGAAATTATTTGAACCTGAATTTATCCTTGAATGGGCGAATGAAGACGTTAAGAATACCTAGTTGAAGCAGTTGACGTATTTCAGCGAAAAGAATAGGAAAAACGGTTTGACCGCAAGTTAGAAATTTTTGATTCGACCCGGCGGCTCGTGACCAGTTTTAGTTCTTATCACAAATGACGACATACCCGTGTGCCAAATAGACAATGGTTAAATATAATCTATTTGTTAACAATTCAAATATCCTTACCTTACATCAGCCATTAACGCCTTGGTTTCCATGGATACCGGACGAGCAGCAGGACTTTCGAGCGTATTTCAGATTGTTCAGGAGACGTGCTCCGCCTGGCGTATTGGCGATGTTGAAGGACCGGCGAAGAACTTGACTGCGCTGACCTATATATGATTGTGAGGTACGATTAGTGAGGCAAGATATTAAATACTCGAATTTCCGATTGGTTCATCAAATGTAACATTTAAAACGACTTAATCACTTGACGGTTTGTATTGTTTTAATTTGCTTCGCTCTCGAGGTGGTGAATCTTGTTTATCATGCAAATTCCCTCAAGACATCGCATTGCATAATTGATTTTAGAAAAAGATGGTAGTTTTCATCAACAGTTTGTGGTAGAAAAGCACCTTTCGCACCATTACCACTCTACACATATATTCGTCTCCCATATGTATTCGTTGAGCTTTTGTGCAAGTGAAAATGTAAAACAATTCGTGTGCACAAGTACCCCATTCTACTAACAGACAAAATTGCTTCTCACATGAAATAACTATGTTAAAAGCGAATATTTGTAGCCAAATAAACCGCAGCCTTTAGTTTATTACTGTGGCGTTCAAGTCAATATGTAATCAGGTGAGTAAAACTTACAGGGTGAGTTGGATGCCTTCATTCATAATCATCTCATCTCCATCCCAACTGTTGTAGTAGGACATTATATGGAGCCATAATGGAGATTTAGCCTATGGGGAAACAATATTGAATGATTACGAAAGAAAACCATGTTTACGCATATTTTAACAGAAATTAAAAGTGAAGTTCTTCAGCAATTTTTGGTAATTCTAAATGTATTAGAAATAGTGTTGGATGAATTACGTCATTCCATCCAGCACGCAGTGTTACGATGGATATCTAATCACCAGTATGTTTTATATGTTGTAGAACTTAGGCCTCCGCAACAGCCAAGAAAAAGATTCAACAAGTGCCATATTTCACACAAATCAATAACAGTTGATTATATTAAAACATATTTTTTAACACCGCATAGCTACTCAATGCTCTAGAAGGTCATTTAGTTCTTTATATACTTTTTTGTTCTCCTACTATATTAATAAAAACCATGACCTTTAAAAAGTGATCCCTGCCCTCTCTCTCGTTAAGGTTCGTCCTACGATATTAAAAAAACAATCATTTGCACAATCATTTGCACAATCATTTGCACAATCATTTGCAATTCTAAAGTTTCAATAATCCACAGACGATGTTCAAGAGTTTGAAAACAAGCTTTAGTCGTTAATATGCGTTGCATTTAGCTACTTCGTGTTCTCGAGTCTTTACAAATTTGTCTATTCCCGCCAAAATCGGTCGTAAGTGAAAAGACACTGAAAGACACCTTCAGATCGTAAGGCCCATGACCCCAGATTCTGTCCAGGAGGTCACACAAACCGGCAATCAGACTGTTTTCTTCAACTCCATTCGCGTCATTATGACCCAGGTCCCTCGCTTCCTGGCCCATCTTCATTACCAGCATTCTTTTCGTCTGTACAAACAAGAAGCGTAATAATCGTTACATCGAGTTGAAAACAGTTTTGTTAAAAGCATGTTATATGTAATGAACGTTTTCAACTCACCCTCGCTTTGCACTCGGTCAATAATCGTTGAATGAAGTTGATGTGTGCATCAGATGAATTTAAACTCATATCGCCGAGTTGAGACTTTGGACTGCGGGCATTTTCGTTTTCTTGAAGGTACTTCTGCGAAACAAAGCATATTTTTGTAAATTACATATAAATCCATAGCTAAACATGGCAAAATACGCGCGTTTTATTCTCTTTATTTTATACATATAATGAATCACAACCTTTATGCTAACTGCAAGTTTTTCACGCATTTTCTTTCCATCCTAAAATGAGAAAACGTTGGTATAATTTAAAGAGGACCATTACACGCAAAGACCATTTCCAATTACGCGCTTATGAATAAACTCCCGCCAGTCTCTAAAGGCCCAATTGCAATTGCCTCGTTTTGACACGATATTCCAGGAAATCTTTAAAATTCTTTACAAGATGACGATTATCACCAAATGTTGCTGAAGAGCGAGTGAAACCGATGATACTACTTTTTAATGATGATTTTGAAATTGGGAGTTTTTTGAATTCAAGAGACGTTTTCTACTCCTTTAAGCACGAGTGACCCCATTCTTCACATGGAACAGTTAGAAAATTACTTTAAGTCTAAGTAGTGCTGTGTTTTAAAAATTAGCTGAGATTCATTCATTTAGAATTTCCTATTTATAACGATACATTTTGTGTGATGTTTAAACATAAGTCAGCTATTTAATCGTTATATGACTGGAACTATGCTTTTTGACGTAATTCATTAAGTGCTGAGTTTGTTGAAAATATGACGTTCGTCGTACGGAAGATCTATTATCAACAGAATATTGCGATGGTTCAACGTGCATTTGTCAAAAGTTTGTTGAAAACCACACAAGAAACATTGATCTTATGACGAGAAATAAAGAACGTAAATATGAATAATAATCAAACCTTTATCAAACATTAAACAATTATTGAATGAGGTTGAGCATGATAGAAGATTATTCAGACCGATATCATGCAAAGCCGAGTTCAATAATTGTTTAATTATTCACTAACTAACCGAAATATTATTAAAACATGTCAGTATGAAACATTTTCAAACCTTTGCTAATTTGTTTACGCATTTTTTAACAGAAATTAAAAGTGAAGTTCTTCAGCAATTTTTGGTAATTCTAAATGTATTAGAAATAGTGTTGGATGAATTACGTCATTCCATCCAGCGACGTTGCTCACATAGTGAATAATAATAAACATTAAAACGCTTCCATTTATGTCAAGTGACTCAACTTTAAAGATAAATACGTAAGAGTTGAAGTAGTACCTGTTTCATGGCAGAATTTAACAACAGATGTTCAGAGTGCTGTTTTGACGATCACGACGTCGCCAATTTATCCTCTGTGCTCGACGACTAAAACATACACGAAATCCACAATTAATAATAGAAAACAAATGGCCACATATATCGTATGGCAGTCATGTTATCGTTTAAAAATTTACGTAATAAATATGATGAAAATTCGACACTTTCGTATGATATAGTGTTAAAAATTTATGTTTTTTGGGTTTGAAGTTTTTTTCTTGCATTTATAAAGATGCTTTGATTAAGAAATAAAAGATGTTTACTGTGTGTTTTTAAGGGCAGTAATGCATGCAAACCGAGGAGACCTTTACGAGAACTCGAGAGCTGATCAGTGCAAGCCGAGACTTTCCCTCTAACAAGTATTCATGATTAATTTGAGAATTCTGTTTGATTTCTTGAATTGACTCAGTTCAGATCTATTTGCACAGGCTAATGTAAACTCAGCTATAGACCACTAAAGGTAAAAGATAATCGCATTGAAACAGTATTGAAATTCGAGCCGAGGAACAAAAAAATCAAAAATAAGAATTCTGGGTCGCATAATAAATGAATGAAGAAGCAAAACAATGTCACAAGTATATAGAAAATTGGTAGATTTTGTTGATTTTGAATTACGTTGATTTTGAATGGTGCATTAAACTACATGTTCCAACAACGAACATTGCCGTTTTAACGTCAAAATATTTTTCAAAATCCTCCACAAACTTACGCACTGTCTACTTCGTCGAGAGAAAAGCATCTTCGATTAATTCGGGAAAGAAACCATCTCCAAGGCCTAAAACAATATTTCCTCAGAATAATTATATAAAAACAAGACATGTTTCCTTAAATATAGTTTAAAACATAGTTCGTTAAAAAAACAAAAGCAGCTATAGCTACAGACAACGCAAAAACACAACGCACAACGTACCTCTTCTTATTTCTACATCAAGTACATGTGGACTTGGAGCAGTATGGTCGACCGAGTTCGTTCTTCTATACAATATTTGCACTGAAAAATAACAGAAAAAATTATGTTTCTAAAGAAAGAAAAAATGTCGGTAAAGTCAGGTTAAGACAATCTGTTATGCCATAGTTTTACTACTTATGAAGACCAAAACCCAATTCTTACTTTCAACTCTGTAGCATCACTGAAAAAAGTGTCATTATGTAACAGCGATCTTTAGTTCTTATTGCTTATTGTTTGTTAAGTTTACGAAGACAATGCTATTTGATTGTAATAACATGCAGTAAAGTTCTCTTATGTAATTGTCTAATAAGTCATAATTGGGAAGGTATCGAGCCATAATTGACATCAAAATACGGTCGTTGTGTTCGAAAGTAGAACGTTAATTGTGCTAATTGGAGTGAGGGAGGGTGAATATTTATATTCAGCTCTGCCCTGCTGATTTTGAAATTAAAATCGCCAAGAAAAGAAATCAGCAGGTCAGAGCTGAGTACATGAATATTACCTTCCCAATTATTCTAGTCTCGCCCCTTGTTGTGTTAGCCTGAAATTTAAAGCAATTAAATTTTCGATCGCATTAGGCTGGATTTCTATTGCGGAAAAAAAATTGGCGGGTGAAAACACTTGCTCGACCACGTGTTATTTCGTCTTAACTACAACAGTAATCAGCCCCTAACAATTTTTAACTCCAACGTAAGATCCAAAGGATCCGTCTGCATATTCGTAATCTACACGAGCAGCCTGACTGTGGAGAACATGAGCACGAACGTCACATGTTTCCCCACCATAAACAACATTATCTTAAACAACACTCTCCAAATATATAAATGCAGTTTTCTCTCGAAAAATTTGCATCGGAAAGAATGGATGTATTCACGGAAGTTTTTAACAACGAACAAAGTTAGCACTCCACAAAAAAAAGGCGTATATAACATTATAATGCCACAGTTGAGCCACAGTATACAAACAAACAGTGCGTCACTTCACTGTACAACTTAGTGCTGTATAAAGCACTAAGTTGCACAGCACTAAGCAGCAGCCAGTAATTAGATTGCTGGCTGCGGCTTCCCTCAGCGCCACTGTTGGTCAGAAACTGCAATTTACTGAATGCCACTATGTTACTCACATGCTTAATAAGATATGCACTACACCAAAAATTTCTAAAGTGGGACTACTTTTGTTTCTATACTGTGGTTTGTGGTTGAGCTGCAAATGCAATTGGGCTAAGTCTGTATACCACTTTAATGTAGAAAAAATTGAAAAATACGCTTAATATACCAACCCGAGCTTTTGTACTTTGGCATTTCTCGTAGGAATGTGATCTGTTTATGTCCAATCTATTCTTCATGGAAGATATCCTTTGATCAAATAACTCGAATCTAGAATCACGCTCCGACAAACTGATCAGTTTTGCGTCGATAAATGAAGCAAACATTTGTGTTTCGATGAAAGGTGAAAGAAAAGACAAAAACGTTGCTGGTTGATCGGACAGGAAGGCAGTCTTGTCGAAATTCTCCATTTCTTTGCGATTTTGAATCCATTCTTCCACGTCCTGGTCATCTTTCGGATGAATCACGAAGCTTTCGTAGTCGAGAAAAACCTGTATAAACCAGTTTAAAAGAATTTCGCACCTCCGCATTGAACTCGTACTGTCGAATCATGCCTGAGTCCAAAGCTTTCGTCATGTCGTTCAACTTTGGGTCCATATTATTGATGTCGGTCAAACTTTTATATTTTTGCATATTCAAGTTCGTTTGATTTCGGTTTTGCGAGCAACTTTATCCAACGATGCCAGTCGAGGATTTTCCTGAATAGATAAGTTCGAAACGCTTTGCTGCTCTTAAATAACTTGATCCGGCTTTCCACACATCGAGTTTTTGACAGATTTTCTGGCAGTTACACGTTCGTCAAGAGATTTCTTTTTTTGTAGGTGAAGTAGAGGAGTCCATTTTCGAAACACTTTTAATTCTTTTGCTGTTAAATTTAACAAGCACTTCCGAAAGGTCTCGTGCCAATTCTTCGGCGAACGGTAAGTCTGGTAATTCTTCTGGAACTGTCAAAACTCGATTGTTGATATCCAAACAGCAAAGAGACTGAAGAAAAAATCAAATAACCATCAGCGTAGATTTTATGAAGGTAAGAATCATTGTCAACCATGCAACGCGCTCATATGGTCTCCGCGGTCATTTTTTGGTTGAATAAAGACAAACGCTGTATCAGTTTGCAATCCGTCAATAATCTCTGCATCTTTTGTGGATGAATAAAAATTTGACTCGTTTTTGAATCAAAAAAGTATGTTCAGATGCCTGCTACTGATTTTTTTCATAAACGTACTTTTTTGGGTGGGCAAATAACTATTTAAAATTATGGCAAGCTCAACGGTTGAAAACTTTCAAAAAGAGGAAGACCAAAACCTGGTATTTAAATAAATACTTGGTATTTGGAAACACACAACTATTACCTAAGTTGTGCAAAGTGTCAAAGAGAAAGATCATCGTTTGATGGAATAAATTATCATATTTAGCACGAATATAAACAAACAAGAGGCGTGTCGCATTGTGCTTCACAACGATTCTTTAATCAGTCCAGGTAAGGTCAAAAATCATCGTGTTTACTTAGAAATAAAATATGTTTACTGTGTTCACACAAGCTTATTCAAAAAGAACTTCGGGAAAACTCGAGAGAAGATCGGTTGCATCAATTCGAGAGATCTCACGAACGTCTCACGAACGTCTTCGAGGTTTACATACTTAAGCCTGTGCAAACATCTTTTATTCTTTTGGTTTTCAAAGATTGATTTATTTGATTGAGCTTAGATTGCATAATGTTTGCACGGGCTAATGAGAACACGGATATTGACAAATCAGCGCGCGCGTTTTATTGTGTATTATTTTATAAAGCCATATCCTAAAAGCTAAATTTTGCTAATTTGCATGAGCAAAGACTGATTGCAGGATTGCAGGAGTAACAGAACAAATGCATAACTTAGTAACAGAACAGCAAAGAATGGTTTTAAATAATGAAGTTTTGCTTCAAAGAAAATTTTACAATACATTAACAAATCAACAGGTAATGTGGCGAAACCAGCCCGTTTTTACTCCTAGAATAGAAATATTTTGTACTTAATCACTGGTAACACAATACATTGAATAAATTTTCTAATAATTTTGATGAAAAATTTGCATTGTAAAGTGAAATATCCGGCTGGTTTCGCCATTGATGTGATATAGATGGAAAAAAAAGAATTGATTGTGACATACTTATAGGGCCCAGAGATTTTGGTTTGTCGGCCAAATGTTACGACCAAAAATTAAATAAAGAAAAAACAATTTTTACGTCAACACTCTGCAAGTTTGACGTTCCATCTATCAAATATTTCAAGAAACGCCAATAGTTGTAAATTTATGGAAATCATTGAGAGATTTTTGAAGTCTTGTATTCACTGTTGCTTTACAATATACTTTAATTTTTCTGTTGCAATAGCCAGTACCGTGGCCAGCCCTCAAAATTTGGTCGCGCTAGGTAAATTTCTGATCATTAACATAGTTTATTTTATAGAAGTCTATTGTTTTAACGATGTTTTAACAGCTTATATATTGAAACTACTGCAGTTGGTGGAGTGCCCAGATGCAAGTTTGGTCCTGCTGTGAAACGTTTTCTGCGCTGACTTACAGAAAAATGATGATGATCTGAAATTTATATAACAGGACCAAAACTTGTCAAACTGGATACGCTACTGACCATAAATGAGAAAGTAAAACTACCGCAGACGGTTTGAAGTATCTCAATAAATCTCGCGTGCATTACCTTTGAGGGAAGAAAATCATCTATGTCGTCTGTGTCCTTGCAGTATAGACCCATGATGAAAGGTACGGGAGCTTCGAGGAAATGAAGAAGAGAGGCGGGAAGTATGGGCACATACACATGTTGCCAATTGTATGGAAAAATTAAAGACACAATGGTTTCAGCGACCAACATAAATGTATATAAGTCTAAATTGAAGAGATTTTACAAAATGTTATTCAACGTGGGTTAGCGATAGCAAGATCACTGAGAACAATAAAATATACAGCGTTACTCTTAAAGAAATTTAATGGAAATTCTTGTGACACATCAGTTACATTAATGTTGCCAGTTTGCCATGTTCAAAATAAACAAATCGCAACTTTACTACCAGAAAATGATGAAAAGAACACCAAAAGCATGAGAGCATTAAAAACTTTTTTTCAAAAAACCTCAAAACTTGATTTGACTTATTATTATTGAACTTTCGTTCGTTTTGCAACATACCGATCTCCGCCATTGTAAACGACTTAAATATTTATAGAATTATCAGCAGCTTTCAAACTCAATCTTGTCCGGCATGATGACAATAAAACTTACCAGATCCCAAAATCAATATCTGATGCTCCAACATCACACACGAAATAAGTTTTATAAAATCTTTCACACCAATTAAATTGAAGACATCTTCCAAAGGGTAATCAAACAGGGGCAATTCATTCTCGCCCGGCCTTTGGCACAACACGTCATCTCTAATGCAGGTAAACTTTAGATTCCTTCCCGGGGGAGGCAGTGGCACTTCATAAATCAAATTGTAGAGGTAGCATTCCATTGTTAACCTGAGTGTACCTTCACTCAACCCCCCCTGATATATCTTATTCAGGCACGATTTTGCTGCGCTCACAAAAGGAAAAGGCATGACCAGACACAGGGACTTGGAAACAAGAAGATTGTGTTCTTCTGAATCGTACAACTTAATGCCTTTGCGTGTTGGTGACGGGAAATTCTTGCGCTCGTACGAATGAAACCCCTCTACATGGCTATGGAAATGTACGGCAGAATGTGACCTGGAATTGTTGGAGGATAGCGCCAACTCGGCAATATACATATCTTGTAGAACCTAGATAAAAAACGAAAAGTGGACAGTTGAAATATGTCACAAGGGAGTACACAATGATCCAGTTGTTGATGAAACCAATGGCTGCTCTAGATTTTTAGTGCAAAGTTTGCACGGGAACTTTGTAGTATTGTGGTGAGTAGCCAAAATTCACACGAGTCAGTCAGTCAGTCAGTCAGTCAGTCAGTCTAGTTTAAATACGAAATGAACGTGCATTCCACTCAAACTTGCCAGAAACTGGACTTGTTCATCAACTGATGCAAATTGTTCTACGTAAATATTTTTCGAGCATCGTTGCATTTTACTACTCGGTTCTCCTATTATTTAATTAGGTGGAATTTAGCGCTAAAAATATCGCAAACAAAGCATTTTGTTCTTCTGAACACATGAACTTCACATATGTGTCAGAAGAATAAAAAAAATACAACATAACCGAAACAAAGTAAGTAAATCATGAGTGATTTCGTAATTTATATGTTGTATACTGCATAGTAATAATAAAAAGAATGTAATGCATGAATGTCTTGATTGTGTCGTGTCAAATATCCTTATCATGTATCTACGTAAGTGCGCATACAAATTAACGTTTATTTACGCAATCTTAGAGAAAGTTAGCTATTCGTCAAAAAAACAAACTGCTTAGCCTTTGATAAGCACTTCTCGTAATTTCAGTTTGGCATTTTTTGAAACGACAAGGTTTGATACTAAGATTTCGTATTTTATTTGCCATGATTAGGAACATTTTTTTTAAGAAACTGCACTGTCCTTGGATCCCTAGTTTAGTAGTACTGTTATATTAATCGTCTACAGTACATATTATCATGTTAGAATTTTTCTAAAGGGGGTGCTAGAGAATTTTTTTGGAGGGTGGGAGGTGCGCACCCCTTGCCCCTCAAAAAATCTGCCCTTGAAACAAGCCATAGCATATTTTTAAACTAAACTTTCACATCATTCATTCGGCACATACCTGCATCGCTTGACATATATCGTAGTCTTTCACTTTTTCGTAAAACGTGAGAGAAACCGTTCATCCTCGAGCCGTCCTCGCGCGTTATAAGAGAAGTGAAATGACGGATTGTGAGTTTCTGTGTTGAGCTTGAATTGAAGACCGTTCGGTAGTGATAACTAAAAATGTTTCGACAAAGACTGAGTGTACATGAAATCATTAAATGTTTTTTTTAATAAAAATTATGTGAAACATTAAGTTGGCTGAGAGCACCTCAATCTCACCTCAATCTTGTTTTCCTTACACTAAAATCATAATAGCAAATATAAATCTTTCCACTCCTTCTCCTTGCAAAAGAGACAAGTCTACTCAAAAGTAGAGAGCCTGGAACAGATTTGAAGAGTGGAAGGGTTTTACTTGCTATATAATGATTGCTTTCTTGCAAGAAAAACATGGTGTTTCGCAAATTTACATTCGCATTAAGCTTGGTCAACTTAATATTTCTTAAACAAAAAGAATGATAGCACAACGCTATAACCAACAACTACAAACAATAACGACCTTATCTAACAACATTTGAGAAATTAACCTTCCACTCCTCTTCCTTGTAAACGAGTCTACAAGTCTACTCAAAAGCAGAGAGCCTTATACACTACAAGTCCCTATCATTCTTTTTGTTTAATAACATTCCAACTATTTAACCTTGTGATTAATATTTCTTATGATTATCTATAAGAGCGAGTGCATATTTAATTGTCTTTTAGGTAGCTAAGTTTCTTATGAATTAGACCTTATGACACAGGGAGCAAGAGGAGTCATCGCTATTAGTCGGGTTTCAAAGGTACATCGAGTGCACATACTTATGTCCAACTCTTTTCCTTTCGCTTGCGTTTGTGTCAAAGCTATGTCACATGCATATTTGATTGTCTTGAGTGCCATCTTTAGTCTTTGCACGTGCATATGTTTATTCAACACATGCGGGCAAACATTAATAGAAATGCTCTTTCGGTGAATAGGTAGTGCGATTGTAAAAACGCAGTAGTTATAAACAAAAATTACTGTTAAAACTGTCCTTTTCGTAGTGGAGCAGGCTTTAAAACAGCTAAACTGGATACAATTTTTTAAAACCACGTCACTCTAAGTATGCTCCTATAATTATACAGGCCACATGCCGACGTATAATCACTTTCATTATTATTTTTCCTGGGCCTTAAACAAGTGAACGCCCTATGGGCGTCTTGTCAACAATAAATAAAGGCGCTGTCACTTGGAAGTATAACAAAAATTATGAAACTTGGTACGTTTATGACAATTTAAGCCCCCTGCAAAAATACTTAAATCAATTCAAGGGCCATAAAATATAGTAAATGTTTCATGCTTGTTTTTCTTTTGAAACCGAAATTCTGAATGTTAGACGTCGATAAATTTCTTTCAACTACTTTCAGGAGTTACGCCTTCTAAAAGCAACGATTTTCTAAAGCAACGATTTTCAACGATAACCTCTGATTTCGAAAGTTACGACTTTCTAATGTGATGCCTTCCTTAAGTTACGCCTTCCCAACAATACGATTTCGATTCAAACGTTACAACTTTCTCGTGTTGAAGATTTCTCACGAAACAGATTACAAGTTTTACGGCTTCTCAATGCAAGATACAACGCTCTAACCTTACAACTTTGTACGTAATATCACGGCTTCCTAACCTTACAGATTCGTTATGTTACTGCTTTCTGACATCAATGCTCAAACTTATAACAAAGTCTTAAGTTTAAGTGGTGAAATTTCACAATGCATGCACAAGTGACGCATAGGTTTGAAGAAAACTTTCTCCCTTATGACACACACAGATGTTGCTAGAGTCACAACAATTTACAAAACAGAGTCTCGTTTTAAATAAACAATATAATGGCTAAATGCTTCCCTTGCTCAGACCCTCAGCTTCTCAAGCTCAGTCCCCCCTTCTCACTTTAGCAAAGTAACTCTTTTCTTATGAAAAATTGGTTGTTTCCAACCAAGCATAAATCATACCATGCAAACTGCATGTTCATCAAATGGATTCCAGGGGACATGATCAGGATAATGAGCTAATGTCTTTGCCCGATAAGATCTTTCAAGGGGTGGAACGTGATGTGAATCACCTACAAAAGAAACCAAAGAAATACTTGAATTTATGAAATGCAAGGATATAAACACTCTTGAAATTTTGCAATATTGCAACATGAAGAAACACAAAATGGAAAATCTTTTAGCTGTTTGAGCAAAAATTGTTGACACTGCATATGGCTTGCTCAGCTGAGTTGCCCTTTACTTCAAATAAAAATTATTAAGTTATTGCTTTCTAGTACTATTTAAAAAAAAACATAAAGCATCAGCCAAAAAAATAATTGGGAAGAAAAAGTTCACTCTTCCGGGCCCAACAGGTCATATTTTTTCCCATTTCTAGCTATGAAAGCAACCTATGTTAATGTCATTGTTTGACTTGCAGGAGAATGTTGAGGAAAGAGGAAGAGTTCATTTAGCATAAAAATGATTTAAAAAATAAATAATTGTTTTTAGATGTAATAATAATATGTACTTTACATTAAATTATGTGTGTTAAGGTAATTGAATTAAATTATGTAGGCAAAACTTGTATCATCAAATAAATGAATAAGAGTCCCAACAGTCAGAATATTTTAACAGTCAATTTCCAATGAGAATACTTAATGCATCCAATTGTCAAAACAAAAAATCTCAAATAACCACACCTGTCAACACAAAAAATTGGCAAAAATCATATATGCTTTAAACAAAGCAACTACATCAAGTATGAAGGAGAAATTAAATGTTATAATATTTTACATATAAGATGTTAAAAAAAATGAGTACAACAACTTCAATGACTATAACTTCAACAGCTTGGATCTCAAAACAGCCACTGTAATAACCTGAAAGTAGTCAATTACTGTATTCAACTGTATTCAATAACTTGGTCCAAACAACTCAGCCCCTATTCAACCCCTAATTTAATTGTAAGCCTAACTTTGACCATAGCTCCCAACCCTAACCTTAGCCTTTACCTAAACCATTATATGGAACATCGTGCTGTCAAACTGTGAAGAGTGCTTGGCAACCAATGCATCTTGAAATTGAATTGGCTGTTGTCGAACACAATCTGATATAAATAGCTTGCATAATAATCTTGGAATACATAAAATGTAAAACATCTTCAACCTTCACATATTACAAATGGTAATAATGAAACAACAGTAATATGAGATCGACACAACATGCAAAAAATCACCATCAAATTTCACAATCCATGCAACCAACAACAAACACCATTTGTTAATTAACAACCCTTCGTAAACAAAAATTGTATAAAAGACTTTCATTCGCGCATTTGTGAATGTCAGCACGAAGTCGCAGCGAGCAAACGTCGCATCAAAGAGCGCGATCTTTATCATGAATTCATAATCTTAGCCTAAGCAAGTAAAAGATACGATAAACATCGCGTGTCAAAAAACGTAAATTGTTGCTTTGAAGGGGTAAGTTTAAATTGAAATAAAAACCTCTCGAATGATTAGTCAGTCATTAAACAAAACTGTAATGAACTTTGATTACAAGAATTTGTATACGGAAATACGAAAACTATGTGCACAGCTGTTCAAGTCGCACATTTCAACATGTTGACAATTTTTGGTCGGCAGCCATACGTTTTCTATACAATAACTACAAAGTAGCATTCTCATTTCAAATGTTAAATAAGATTATCACACACACACACGTGTTAAAATGACCCTAACTTCGACCGTTTTAGAGAAAAACCGTCGTAAAGTATCATACCTAATAGCTGGTCGGGTTCCAAGCCGGACACATTGTCAAGTCCGCAAACAACGAAATAGTCAATGAGCCGTTCTCCCGCAGACGTTGGAGTTGTCATGGCGCTCTTCTTTATGTAACCCTTACTTTAAATAGAGAATACGCCATTTTTTAAGCTACATATCAATGTATGCAAAGTCTCGCATGCATCAAACATGCAAAGAAAAAATCGTTCTCGTTCAAATGTCATGAAGTCATAGACATGGTTTGATTGATCTCTTGCAACTCCAGCTTCGCGGAGGAAGAACTGTACACTGACCGACCATTGAACTGGACTATTATTTCACCGCTGGCGTTGTTAAATCGTGGTTAGATCATGTCAAACCTACGGTGGCCGGTACGGGTCACCAGAAAAATAATTTAGAAAACATAACAAACAATAAGAAAACATCACTCAAAATCATACTACACATTTCAAAATACTCACTACACATTTGAAAATACTCGCTACACATTTCAAAATACTCACTACACATTTCAAAATACTTACTACACATTACAAAATACTCACTACACATTTCAAAATACTCACTACACATTTCAAAATTCTCGCTACACATTTCAAAATACTCGCTACACATTTCAAAATACTCGCTACACATTTCAAAATACTCACTACACATTCGTCCCAGTCTTACCCTGGTCTGGCCTGCCCGCGGTCGTCATTAGTTTACATATACGAAATTGACGTGATGGCAGAAAGCTAATATAAATATACGCTTCCGATATTACTAATAGTTCAGTACGCGTGGGATATTTTGATGCTATTGTGGCGATATGTTGTCTATGTGGAATTCATAGACAAACATATCGCCACAATAGCATCAAAATATCGACGCCACATGAACTATTAGTAATATTTCTTCCAGGGATTTCTTGGTCTTAGTTAGACAACACAACATGAGTGGTCAATCTACAGATTGCATGTAATTGTATTTGTGTTGGTGATATTCGACAATCATTAGTTTAACTAATGAACTTATTGACGTGACTGGTATTGAAGTTCTAAATTTATTGCTTTTACTCGAAATTACCGAACTTTTCATTTTCTTTGGCGTTTCTTGTGCAACAAATTATAGCACTATGTGTAAATTTCCTCTTTGGTTTCCTTGTTATTTTTGTAACGCATCACACAAGTACGTACGCGACATAGCGAATGCAAATTCATATACTCAAATTTTTGCTATTAAAGTGCGGACATGTGTCGAAAGCCAGTGCAAATACATTTGCTGGCGATATGTAGATCGTCTACTAATGTTGTTGCCCGACCAAGTCCAGCAAAACCCTGGAAGAATTTCTGATTAGAGTTCAGCCAATATGTTAATGCTATTATCCCAATGTCCCATTTTGTTTGTCTTGTGAAATGCGGAATTATACATTTAATATGCTTACTTTATGATGTCATGTCAGTTTCGTAGATGGAAACTAATGATGACCGTGGGCAGGCCAGACCAGGGTAAGACTGGGACGAATGTGTTGCGAGTATTTTGAAATGTGTAGTAAGTATTTTGAAATGTGTAGTGAGTATTTTGTAATGTGTAGTAAGTATTTTGAAATGTGTAGTAAGTATTTTGTAATGTGTAGTGAGTATTTTGAAATGTGTAGTGAATATTTTGAAATGTGTAGCGAGTATTTTGAAGTGTGTAGTGAATATTTTGAAATGTGTATTTTGAAATGTGTAGTGAGTATTTTGAAATGTGTAGTATTTTGAAATGTGTAATATTTTGAAATGTGTAGCGAGTATTTTGAAATGTGTAGCGAGTATTTTGAAATGTGTAGTGAGTATTTTGAAATGTGAAGTATGATTTTGAGTGATGTTTTCCTATTGTTTGTTATGTTTTCTAAATTATTTTTCTGGTGACCCGTACCGGCCACCGTACAAACCAAACCCGTAAGACCTGGAGGGGAAACGGTACGGTGGCCCAGAGGTGCAATACACAAACGCAAATTGAAATACACAAACGCAAATTGAAATACACAAACGCAAATTCAAATACACAAGCGCAAATTCAAATACACAAACGCAAATTCAAATACACAAACGCAAATTCAAATACACAAACGCAAATTCAAATACACAAACACAAATTCAAATACACAAACGCAAATTCAAATACACAAACGCAAATTCAAATACACAAATGCAAATTCAAATACACAAACACAAATTCAAATACACAAACGCAAATTTAAATACACAAACGCAAATTCAAATACACAAACACAAATTCAAATATACAAACACAAATTATAATATGCAAAATTCATATCCGGTTAATTTGCTAGCTAAATGTGTTGTGAATTTACAAAGTTGCCGAAGTGCAGATTATTGTCATATTCTTATATTTTCGTTTCATTTCGAGAAAGTAAAATAAATACAGAACATTCATTGAGGCATTTGTGGATAGGCGGAACATCGAAGCAGAAACAGAAGATAACAATAATAATAATAATAAGAAGTGTTTACTAGATCATGTGACTAGTACTATGATCAGATATCTTATACTTAGTTTAATACACATATAATGTATCGTCATTCCAAACAGTTCGTATTATCTTTCCCGGCTGTTGGTAATGTGAACTTAAACACCATGTTTTGTACAGTATGCGGGAATTCACTAAATACAAGTGGTAATTTTAGTGCTAATTGTGGGACGGATCTTCGAAAGTCTGACGAATCTAAGACCTTGCGGAACAGTGATCCATCAACATCAGCTGCGCCTTCTACCGATCCTCGTGCCACCAAACCTTTGACTTTTAAAGAGTATTTGGCAGATATTTCATTTGCCACTGTTGAGAAAAGGAAGCGTCAAGATCTTTTTGTCTCCACGAAAAAGGGGAAGAAGGATGAGACTGTCAAGGTTTGTGATTACTACTACCTTTGCAAATAGGTCCTGTCAATAATAATTTGAAGGGTGGGTGATGGTTGTGAATAATTATATTCAATGCTTGTTTTTATATAGATATTAGTTATGTAATTTCCACCTATTGAAGCTGAAATATAAAATGCCTGCCATAAGAAATTTGTTTTTTTGCAGTCATTTGAATCAACACAATAATACTTTTGTTGCATGCTTTAAAAAATCAGGCTCAGGTTTTCATGGAGAAGGATGGAATGGTTTTTGCCATTAAAATGTCTAATTATTTTTACATTCTTCATCACATATTTTGTGATGCCAGGTCATGAACACCTAGTAACTGGATATTTTTTTCCACCACAGATAAAAATTGGAATTATTGAGCTAGATGGGAGTCATTTGAAAATTAAGCGAGGCTCACTTCTTCCTATTGATGTAAAAAAATGTGATTCTCATGTTGTGGTAAAAACTGCTGGGGTGGAGAAGCAACTGGCTCACAATAAGCAACTCCGTGATGAAAGTTCTGAATGGGTTTTGTTGTACCCAGATATGGAGTTAGTTTTATATTTACCAGGCACAACAGAAACATTTTCTTTAGAAAAGTACAAGGAGTCACTTGGCAGGCCATACAGTCGTGTCAATTTGTATGTTTGCAAGACTTTGGATTATGAAAGTGAGGAGGTTTTCTATTGATTATTAAAAACACTTTGTTAATGTATAGGCAATTTATTAATGTTAATACTTAATTATGAGCATTTAATAATCAAAGTTATTCTGTAAGGTCAAGTATATAATAATTTTTGCCCCATTTGGTTAATTTAATGAAACTATCATGATACAAATAAAATTAAACACTTACTTTATGAGGAGCTAATATTAAATATTACACATTAATACTGTAAAAGGCAACATTCATTTAGATGTTATACTTGAGAATTCCAATATGAGTTCATAAGGAAATCAGCAAAAGTGTGTTATGCAACAATCTTTTATTTAAATAAATTACATATTTGATAAAAATACAGATATTTGTTTTGTAGTTGCTAATGAATTAGTTGATGATGTTGTGGAAGAGCAATTAGATTTGAAAGAAATCAGACTAACAAAAACTCAAAATGAATCATTGTGCACAGAACCACAGCTTGGAGAAGAATCACATTCCACAACTTTGGTTGGACTGTCATCTTTTGATGATGCAACTTTAACACAACATGCACTAGAGAACTTCCAAAATTGTGATGCTTTTGAGATGAATTACTTTCCAAGGTTTGTGAGTACTATATAGTGTACTTGTACTTGTCAGTCTTTTTATGAAAAAGATGTTCAATTAATATTTCATGAAATGATGAGTGGGTATTGTGATGATGGTGCAAAATACCATTGGGAATTCATTCAAAGAAAGTGGATGAATGAAATTTGAAAATAGAACAGTCAGAAATAATGTGGCTTATCACCCATCTTTACTATAATAAGTGTTGTACATTGCTGGTGAAAGTTGTGAAGGGGCTGCTTTTGTCCCAGAAAGTATGGCAAATGAGGTTATGGAGCGAGAAGTGTTGCTTATTCATCGTTGTAATGTGAAAGCTGACTTGCTGCACTATTTTGAAAAAGATGATATTTTAAAGAAGTGTGTGGATGTCAAGATGATAGATTCCAGAGGTGTTGAGGAAAAGGGCGAAAGAGTCGGCGTTGTCAGGGATGCATTTTCTCTGTTTTGGAATGAAATATATAATAGTTTCATGTTAGGCGAGGATGAACGAGTCCCAGTGATTCGTCACGACGTTTCTCGGGAGAAGTGGCAAGCGATAGCCAGAATTCTTGTAAAAGGTTACACTCAAGTGCGCTATTGTCGGAAAGGATAAACAGTTTAGTTAACGCGTGGGTCGCGCGAGACCAAAGTCGGAAATGGCCGGTTCGTACCGGTAGTGTTAACAACAACACTTGAAGAAAAGAAGAAAAAGGGTACAGCATGGTAGAGCATTCGATAGCACATTGTAATTGTTTAAAGCGAGAGTGACAATAAATACTTTTAAAACGAAACAGTGAGAGTGATTTTCTGTGTTGGGCAAGCAAATCCCGACAAGTGGCACCCCCGATGGGACGAGATTAACATGGATAAACTAGTAAAAACGATCGAGACGAAAATCCAATTCCTAAAGTTCACAAATGAGAAAACAGTAAATATCTTGGGGAAAAATGACTTGGCAGGAATGGAGAGACAGAGGAAGACTTTAGAAAGGAAAACAGAAGAAGTACACGCTTTAAAGGAGCAGATTCAGGAATTAAACTTTGAGAGCGGCGAAAACGTAGACAATGTACGAGACTGGACGGAGAAAATTGAAGGGAAACTGGCAGAATTCGAGAACGCTATACGGGAGTTGAAACACGAACAAGATCGGGTTAAGGGCGAAGAAGATTTGA